TGAGCAAAAACCTTGTCCGATCCCAAGGATACAAGACATGCTACTGAATCTAGACGGATTCAGGAAATACGAGTACCAGCGAGTACCGATGGGCCTATGCAATAGTCCCGACATCTTCCAAAGGAAGATGGGAACACTCATGCACGACTTGGAAAATGTCCGTGCATACATTGATGATCAACTCATCCTAACTAACGGCGATCTAAGGGATCATGTTGAATAGTTAGATGAAGTTCTCCTAAAGGCTTCGAGAAGCCGGACTTAAGATCAATGCTACCAAGAACTTGAGTATCTAGGCTACTGGATTACTCGAGAAGGAATCCAACCCGTAACCAAGCAAATAGATGCGATCCAGAATATCGCTCCTCCTACGAACAGGAAGAAACTTAGTAGATTCATTGGACCAGTGAACTACTATCGAGACATATGGATCAAGACGATCACATGTACATACAACGTCGGGGATCCTAAGAAAAGGAATCCCTGTCCATTTCATTGCTTGACAATGATTGATCCCGTAACCGAATGGTTCGAGATTGCCAAGATCTGCTCCAATGCAGCAGACGAAGTAGCCATCGTTCTAGAACAGACGTGGCTCACCCAGTATCCATGGCCTGCTGAGGTTATCATGGATAGAGAACATGAGTTCCGTGCAGAAGTCGAGAAGACTCTCCGGGATGAATATGGACTTCGGCGCAAGTTCATTGCCACACGTGTTCAATCATGACGCGATTCACAACGTCCGTTTCGAAGTAAACTGGAAACACATCAAAGAACGTTGCCAACGACTCATCCAGAAAAAACAATGATAAGGAAAACGCGACGCGTGTCCCTCATCAATACAATGTCAACGATACTGTGAGGTTTCAACAGTATCAGCACCCGCAAGTACGGTCAGCCAAAGTACAAAGGTCCTTACAATATAGACCGAGTCAATAACAATGGCACTGTACGGCTCCGACATGCTACCGCCAATGGCGGCACAGTCTACCAGACTTGGAACATAAGGTATTTACACCCATACAAGGCCTGATCCCCTTGTAGGATTGCCATCGTGCGACGCACATGTCTACATCCAATCTCCGGAGAGTGCCCCGCACTTTAATTCATATGTTCTCCTTGTCCGACTGCTGTCGTGCCTCCTGTGACCCTTGTCAGGGGGCGAATGCAATACACGGCTCTTAGCCTTATTCGCGACTCGATCCTAGATAGGGTTTGAGTTCGACTCATGACGTAGTCCTTCGCGAATAGTCATTGAGACAGGGTTCTCATGACTGCTAGTCATACTAGGTTGTCGATGAAACATCGCTCTAGATATTTAGCCGGCGTGGAAAGCTTCCACGCTACTAGACAGCTACTAGCTGAAGTTTCCACGTGTTCCGGAAATGGAGAGTACATAGAGTTATTATCATAACCTACGATATCACACTTCGAGGCCTCCCGCGGGAGACCAACTTCAATGAGCTTCACAACGATCTCTCTCATGGATTAGTTTTCGTAGCTTTCTAATCTCTCTCATAACTTTCATTCTCTCAAACTCAAAACACTCGAAAGATCTTTACACTAGCTTTTAGCGTAGTGCACTTGCCTCTGGTACTCTTCACTGTAATGGGACGATCGGCTTTCCTGATGTCGGTAACCATGTCTTTATTACAGAATAAATCCAACGTGGACTGGTTATCCAGTAGCTCGACCTCTCTCATATCTATGTCGTCCAATCCTTTCGTGTGGGCGACTATCGCGCGTTTCTTCGCTCCGTCCGCGAACAACGGTACGAACGTAAAGAAGCTTTTCTTCGTTTTCTCTGAATCGGAATCCGTGATGTCAGAGTCAGCGTCATCTTGTTCTTCCTGTAGGGTTGTCAGTGACCTCTGCAGTTTGCCTGACAGTTTGCCGATTGTAGCGAGGCAGGGTCTTGCTTTGACTGCTACTCGAGCTTTCTTGCTCGACTTGCTTGACTTGCTACGCTTGCTCGACTTGCTTATTTGTTTCGACTTGGCATCGTCATCTTTATTTTTGGTTTTGGTTTTGTCTGGACAGTTCGAGGCTGGATGCCCTGTCTCATGGCAGTTATAGCATTCTTTATTTTTCCAGAATTTGCTATCGAAGCCTGCGTTTCCATCTTTATTTTTGGTTTTGTCTGGACAGTTCGAGGCTGGATGCCCTGTCTCGTGGCAGTTATAGCATTCTTTATCTTTCCAGAATTTGCTATCGAAGCCTGCGGCCTCTTCCTCTGCCACCACCCCGTCCTCTCCCGCCTTGTGCTGTCTGAGCAAAGGAGCTTCCATGGGAAGTGAACTGTCAGGGGGTGTTACTCTTGGTGTGTTTGTCCAAGAGGTGTAATACGCCATGGATAGTGTGGGGATAGTTGTCAGTGCCTTTGGCATAGTCGTCCCTCAGGTTCTGTTGAGTTTGGTGTTCTCAGCTGAACTATTTGTTTTAAAAGAAGATATAGCTATAGTATCGTTCTTCAGCGTACTCCATGACTCTAGTCTGTTCCTTTTTTTGTGCAGCAGTTTAGCTGTATGTCGCATCGCTGCTTGGTGTACCTTGGAAATGCCCACGGATAGTGCAATGTCCTTCTTGGTGGTAAATTGCTCGTGGTATTCGGAAGCGATAAGGTTCCCTTGGTGGAAATTCAACAGTGCCTTTTCCTGTTGATAGATGGTGTGGTACACGTAGTTATCGTCTGTCTGGGCCATGATCGTCTTATGGATCATTTTTCGTAGCTCCAGTGGGTCACATTTCAGCAGAACGGTCTCGTAGTCAGCGTTCTGTATCATCTTGTCCTTCAACAATCGGGTGCATTGCCCGAGGATCAAGTTGAATGATTTGCCCCTATTCTCTTGGAGTTTTGCCAACCTAGTATGGTAGGTCTTCATGAGTCCTCCAAACTCTGTTTTCTCTGATCCCCGGAGTTCCTCTTCCGGTGGATCCTGTATGGCGTCTTCTAGGTCGTCTATGGCATTTACGATGTTTGCTTTTTCTATCGTTAATGCTTGCCACCTATCTATTTCATTCGAGTCCTGACTGACTGCGGTTATCTGTTAGTCCAGCACCTCTAGGCTGGCCCGGTTCGCCTTTAGTAGACGTGTGTTTTTCTCTTTGCGTCGTTCGGCTGCTGATCGGAGCCTTGCCTGGGTCTCCGCTGTGTATGCCGGTGCTGTCAACACGGTTGGTGTCAGGTTCCGGAACTCATTGCCGATGTCTTCACCCATCTTTTGTCCAACGTAGATGGTGATCTTCTCCCATGTTCGTATCATCTGGTCTGCCGTAGCCGATCCAGTTGTACCGAAATTGAACACATGTTGTTCTAGGGCTTTGCATGAACTTGTTTGTCAGTTCGTTGAGGATGGGCTGGACCTTCCATGCCTCTGCCGCCTCGGCCACTCCTTCCTCTACCTCTACCGCTCATGTCTATGCTACGGTAGGTGGATTATTTGTTCTTTTTTATTGGCTAGCTCTTTATTTTAAGTTCTCGTCCGACTACTTATTCGTCTTATGGCTATGGGGCGATAAACTTCAAATTATACTCCTGGCTAGGGAGTGTTAAGTCTATAACTAAAGATCTTGTAAGGGTGGGTCCGATTGCTTCACACACTGTGTGGTCGTGGCCTTTCCAAACCCGTTTCTTTGTTGAGTGACTCCTGGGTTGGGTGCCCGTCCTTGGCCCCTGCGCTGGCACTATGGCTTTCGTGCTTGTTGTTGGCTCTGACAGTTCCGTCTGGATACTATCGGCTCTTCTCCTATCAGCAATCCTTGTGGATTCTGCCGATAACTCTCTCTCGCGTTGTCGCGATCCGTTGTCGTCGAAACACTTCTTCGGCTCGGATTTCGGATCCATCCTCGGATCCTTGGTTGCTGTCGTTCCTTGGCAGGCTTCTCTTGTTGCGCCTCTTCTTCGGCACGACGATCCTCTCGTCGTCGTCGTCATCGTCGGTCTTGTATCGGTCTTCTCGTCGACGGATCCTCTTCGGCCGATCCTCGGTCGATCTTCGCGTCACGATCTTCCTGCTACCATTTGACTCGTTGCGTCGTCGCGTTCGATGCTTCGGTAGACTCCTCTTCTTCTCTATCGATACAGACCACTGCTATCGTGATAGCAGCCTTTTTCAGTAGTATGTTAGATTCACTAAGCTCTCTAATTTACCATTGTCATGCTATTGAGATACTGCTGAAAAAGTGGGTTTCTTGGCTTTTTCTACTGGTGTGAAATTCTAGTACAGACGTACAGGTTGAATCCCTAATCGCGAATCCCCAACAGTTGATGAAGCTGGGGTATCGACTCTTCAATCGGCTGATCTCGCATCGACGGGGTCTTCCTGGTAGTTGCTCTCCCAGGTGACTGTCTTGACATGAAAATACCAGAGCCTCGGTGGATCATACCAGTCTTGGCAGATCCAGTCCATGCCCTATGGTTCCATAGCGAATCTTTCGCTTGTCAACCAGCGGCGGAAGGGTACGCCGTGGCGGGCTGATGATCTCCTCATCGCGTAGGTGTTCATGCTCTCAAACTGGGAAGAAAGTCTGGGTCCTATTCCTCAGACTGGGAGTGGATTCGTGATCACTATCTGACTCATCCTCGCTATCAGAGTAGCTTTTGCTTTCCCTTTCCCATAGAGCTGGAACGTCTCTGTCCGTTTCCCCACCTACAGAACACACGATGTGGCCCCATCAGATCCGGCACAGGCAAGTTGAATAGTAGACCAATATGTTAGTAACGTTTTCAACTGTCTGCCTCATCCTTCCTAACTCTGCTGATCTGTCACTGATCCTTCAGAGCCCTTCTTTTGGGTTACGTTAAAGTCCTCTCGCGTAAGGAAGGCGTTCACCCTCTCTTCCAGCAGATATTCAAATATCCATCTGTTGACCACCATCATTGGTAAGTCACTCCACTTTTTGGGTTGCTTTAACCGCCACCTTCCTTGGCTTCCTCGTTTCCTTCCTGACCACCGTCTCTGTTTTGTCCTCGACCACGTCGACCTCCACCTCGGCCACCATTAGGCTTGTCCATTTGCTAAGGCTCGGATGACATCCCGGGCTGCCTGCTTGGCCTGATTGTTGGTCTTGTTGGCCCAGATGCACCCGGTGTCTCCATGCAAGATGGTGCCGCACTTGGAACACACGGCCAACCCTCGAGTTCCACTGCCTGGATTTCCTCCCGACCCGTTACTGACTGTCTTATACAGTTCAGAGGTCTTTTCGGCTTCCAAGGTGTTGTAGATCCACTTGGACACTGATCCATCCCTGAGGTGGACGTATATGCCACAGATGGCTCCTACCCGGGTGTTGCTGCTGGCTCGGATCATACTCCATTTCTTGACATGGTAGTCGATCTCCTTCTTGACCATACTCCATGTGCTAGACGATCCCACGTGGACCAGGTGTTCCAGTAGATCAATGTAGTTCCTCATTCCTAGGCGGGATAGGGTGGTGATGTATCCACCGTGGCACCATGCTTCAGTGATCAAGCTATCCCACCCTTTTCGTTGAAGGATGGCCAGCTGAATCGCAATCAGATTGCTTGTGTTGGTATCTTGAAGACTCCGAACGTCATAGAGGAGGGTACGAAGTCCGTCTAAGTTCTTGACACCCTTGAATCCATTCCTGGATCCGTTCTTCCATCGTAGATCCCTCCTGCTCTCTTCTCCCAGACGTTCCTGTCGACTCACCGCAGCGATCTCGAAGAGCGAGTCTTGGATGTTCACGGCAGTGTCTTCCACTTCATGATTGTTACTGGGCTTACCTCCTAGATTCACCACATCAGTCATGGCTTCCGTCATCTCCAAGGCCATCTTTTCACTTACGTCGGGAGGAGATAAGCACTTCCTCAATTCTGCACCATTCACGTCCAAACTCACTCCAAAGATTTTGTCCTTCTTCTTCACCGACTTGTCCCTACCATTCAGCTCCACCGGTGGACGAGCGACTCGGCTAGGCCATTCTTCTGTTCCTTCCGTGTCGCAGCTGTCTTGGCTACTGTCGCTGGAACTGAGCTCACGGTACTGTTTCATCGTCCACCGAATCCATTCTTTGGCTTCCTTCTTGGTTCGGAATTTTTTGATGATGGAGTACTTGTTCGCGTACTTTTCTGCCCTGTGGCGGCTGTCAAAGACTCCTTCCCGGTTCTTGTGTCCAAAAATGAGTGCGTACCAGCGTCTCGGGGGCGGAGACGGGCTCCTGACTTTTTGACGTCAACGACCCCGTTCTACTCAGCTACGCTCTTCCTCCTCGCTGTCTGAGTCATCGGTAGTAGTGTCATTGTCACTGGAGGAGTACGAGGAGGGAGATGGGGACACACGGCGGCGTCCCTTCTTTCGTTCCTTCTGGCCACGGCTTGGTTTCTTTTCCTTTTCGCTCTTCTTGCGTCGTCGGTTTACTTTCTTCCTGCAACGCTTTCGAGCCTCGTAGGAACTGTCCGAGACCGTCAGGTCCTCCTCACTGGATTCTCCTTCGGCCATATCCTCGGCTTCCTCTGCTTCACTCTCGGACACTGTCTCTACCATGGGCTTGCGCTTGGTTTTGGGGGGCTTCTTAGACGCCACCTTTGGGCCTGGCTTGGAAGCCCCTTTAGGGCTGGCTTCTTCTGGTCCATGGAATCCTCTCGTTTCTTCCTGACTAGGATCTCCTTCAAATTTTAACTAACAGAGTCGTCCGTCTCTTCAGTGGTAGCTATCTCTCCTGATTTGCTCTTCTTGAGATCTTCGTCGAAGGTCACACTGTTTTCACGTTCCTTGGCACGTTCCTTGGTCTTTTTCTTGCGTCCTTCACGGTGCGCCTTGCGAGCGGCTGCCTCCTTTGGGGGAGTGGGTACCTTGGCAATCTTGATTCCTTTGACCGGATTGGACATGTCAAAGACCTCCCCTTCTTCCTTCTTGGCTCGGGCAGCCGCTTTGGCCTCCATAGCCACCTTGTTGAACTCATCTTTTACCTCGGCAGGTAAACTGCCTGAGATCTCAACCCCTTTAATGCTATTTCCTATTTCCTATTTCCTATATCCTATATCCTATTTCCTATTTCCTATTTCCTATTCCGGTGAAGCCAAAATATAAGGATAGAGATAGTCATAAGCTAACAAAACTGAATATTGATGGTTCAAAACAAGTTAGGGTTAGGAATAAATCATTAATATTTAAGGTTAGTGCAATCATCACAACAGCACAATAAGCCAGCAGGAGCTGTAAAGGTTAGAGTTACAATAAGGGAATGGCAGCTGGTAAATTTTAGAGTAGCGGGCGGCAACACACGACGTAGTCGGGTGTTGTCGCCAGGGTTAGCTTTTAAAATAAAAAGAAGGTTGCAATGAGGGAATGAATGATAACGGGCGGCAACACCCGACTACCAGGGCTAGCTTGAAAGATGGGTGCAATCCGAACATAATCCTGCTTCTTCTATCTGTCTTTCTGCCGAGGTATCGCAGCTCCCGCTGACTTATCTTCCTCGCGGTCCCAGTACTCATCTTCTGGGACCTCTGACCAGCGGACAGCATCCTCAAAACCTTCTGTCGTTTCTTGGATGGCATAGTAGCAGTTGTCAACGGGTGCCTTGTAGCCTTTTTGTGAGAGGGTCGGCGGCAAGTGTCCCCATTGGCCATGCATATGAACTCCAGATCGGCGAACTTTTTGGTGGTAAACACCGCTCGACACATCGCGTCACTTATCTTGGCGTACCTGATGATCGGGCTGCCTTCCTTGCTCTTTCGCGATCCACTGCTCTCCGTGCTTCGGCTGGTCTGGCTCAACCTGGTGCTCATCGAGTGGTGACTCGAATCATCCTCACTTCTGCCCATGTCTGCAGCCTTGGGTGGAGTGACTTTTCCAAACAGTTAGATGGTTGCTTAAGCTATTTGGTTCTACTTAGCTCAATCACACGGTCTACTTGTATCTCTTTTGTTAGGTGGCTCAACGTTAGTTCGCTTTATTACCCCGTGTTGTTCAAAGGAAAATTGCTACTGCTATTCTAACTTGAGCCAGCTTTCTTGGAAAAGTGAGGCTCTGGTTTGAAGATCTGTTTGATCTGTATCTTTGTAGATGGAAGATGTGGCTGCGCCAGCTCGGACAGAAGGTGCTGTGGCACTTCTTTGGTCTGTATGCTTGTCCCGTGGTCAAGGGTCTTGTTGTCTTGTATATCTTGTACAGTACTAGTAGCTTAGAATCTCTTCATGGATGTCCATGGGAGGTTATTGGCGTTGTTCTCACCATGTCTCCTGTTGTTCTCGCTCCTTAACATATCTATTTAGTATTTATTTTCTTCCGAGGAACGAGGTGATCTCCTTATCTGTTTCCTTTTTATCAGGGTGACATGGCTATTATCGCTCCAATATTAAAACAATACAGCTATAGACAGATCCTCCCTTTAATGGAGGGCAAGCTAGCATAGATAGCTGTTGACTGGCAATACTGCAAGAATGGACGAAGAAGATGACTTCGATGTACTGGATGTGGTGGCAGCACGAAGCAGGGGTCTCACTGATGCTGAAGTTCAAAAGTGGGAAGCCTATGAACTGGTTGCAGCAGCAGCACAAAGAAGAGAAGAAGCGCAGGTTCGACGGACATCCAAAGAGGAACCCAAAGAAGAAGATGGCGAATTCATCATGAACGTTATAAGAGAACGACAAGCATTATCCTCGCAGCCGGAAGCGTTATCCTCACAGCGGCCAGCAAAACCTTCTGACAATCAGGATGATCATCGGCCTGAAGAGACGTCCATGCTCCCTGGGGCTTATGCAGCAGCACCTGGTACAGAGTTGCAGAGGAGAGTACTAGTAACAACTAGTCACGGAAAATCCTCCTCGGGTGGTTCTGAAGAATCTTCTGCTGCTGTGGACTGCAGTGCTGCTTGTGAAATCGATGGGAATGAAGCTTCTGTTTCGGGCAATGATGGTGGGGATTTATTGGTTGTGGCCAATCCAGTGGATGATACAATTCCAAATAATGGTATTATTCCCGTGGCTCAAGATTACAATAATGCTGAGAACAATAATAACCGATACGTGCAAGGAGAGGAAAGCATCAGGCAACAAAAAACAAGAATTCTGGTTGGAGCGATTGGTTTGGCAGCTGTGATCATGATTGTGTTTGCTGTTGTTCTTCTGTCTCTTACTGCTGGCAAGCAATCTGCTGCGGAGGAGGAGGGTGACCACGCATTATTGGATCCAAATATTGATGATTCATCAACCTTTTCTCCTTCATTGGTCCCACCATCGTTGCCACCCTCAGCTGCTCCGTCCCAAGCTCTGAGTGCATTCTTGGAACAGCTTCCTGCTTTCACACACTCCACTTTACACAATGTAACCAGCCCTCAGGGTCTTGCCTTCAATTGGCTCCAGGATTATCCAAATGTCACATCACTGGAGGACTGGAGAATAACACAATTATTTGCCTTGGCAACATTCTTTTATGCATTTGAGGGGCCGAGGTGGAGACAAGAATAAGGGATGATTGGTTGGTAGTGGACAAACACGAGTGTTTCTGGTATTCTGCTCATTTTGGCGTCTTCCAGCAAGATGGCACCTACTATGGTGTCGCCACTACCGGTACTTCAGCGATTCTCTTCGATGGATCACCCTGCAATCCACAAGGAGAAATGGTGGTTCTCTCTGTTTCCGACCTGGAATTGGCTGGATACCAACCTCGGATTCCACCAGAACTCTCCTTGATGACAGGATTGAAGGAGATTCACATATTTTTCAATGACATCTCAACCTCCGTTCAAGCCATGATACCCTCTCAGCTCTATATGGGAATGCCACAGCTTCGTACATTAAACTTCATGTTTAATTCGCTTTCTGGAAGTATCCCCACTGACATCGGTTTGGTTTCGGACCTCATGTGGTTAAATTGGGACTTCAACTTGTTTCTCACTGGCACGCTGCCATCAGAGCTTGCACTCCTGACAAAGCTAACTCGCCTATCTCTACCAGTCAACTCATTGTCCTCAACCATTCCTTCAGAACTAGGTAGTCTGGCTTCTCTTGTTACCCTGAATCTGGAACATCTATCCCTCACTGGGGCAATACCAAGAGAGACTGGGATGCTTTCCAACCTTGAAGGGCTGAGCTTGAACAATAATGCCTTGTCTGGAAATCTTCCCAGCCACCTGGGCTTGCTAACTGGCCTGCAACGGCTGGATTGTGCGCACAACTTATTGTCATCCACCATTCCATCCGATATTGCAGGTTTGAGTCAGCTTGAAATGATGGATCTCAGTGACAATGCACTATCCTCGCTGCTGCTGGGACACCTAGGAATGCTGGATAACCTCCAAGAATTGGACTTGGGTTCCAATCAGTTTTGGGGGGTTGTGCCATCGGAATGGGGCAGTATGACAGGCTTGAGAGTCCTGGATCTTTCAAACCTACCCTCGCTCAGTGGCACACTTCCGATAGAGCTCAGCTGGTTGGCGTCCATGTACAACCTTTCTCGGCTGAATCTTGGTGGCAGCAGCAACTTGCAAGGAGTGCTTTCTGAAGACCTTTGTGATCTATTGGGTGAATCCTGCAACTACACGTTTTCTGGCAGTTGGTACGCGGAAAAATTCGAGGATTGTTCCCTCGAGTTCGATTGCACAGAAAAGTTGTGCGGGTGTGGCTGCAACTGCACTGATTCCGCGTAGCTTACTGTTGGTTCTTTCGTTGTCCTAATTATAAAGAAGTTTTCCTTCAAATGTTTACTTCATTGGACGCTACATATCGTTGGAAGACTGGACCGACGCTGCGTGTGCATAAATGAATCCGAGCCGTAGTATTGCCAACCAGCACAGATCCACTGTTGGACTTCCAGCTCAGACTGGTGCTAGCTAGCCCAACGTGTTTTAAAGAAGCACCCGACAACGTTGCAAGCTGAACCTCCAAACCACTTCCAATACGATATATGCTCCGTCGAGTTGACTCGACTCTAGTTTCGTGGCGACGTTTTCATCGCTTCGCAATAATGAATTTCTCGGGTTCGAACCGAGACCTATTACAGAGTGATTGGCATGGCCCAAAACGGATTCATTCTCTACAAGTTCAAAGCCCAAACTTTACAGCTACTCTACAGCATGTTATGTCGAATCGAATCGAATCGAATCGAATCGAACCCCCGCACGTACCGACGATGCCGCAATGGAACGTTCGTCGCCCGTTGCATCACGACCCCCCCGCCCGGCTACTAGTGTATAATTACACAACCATTGGTGGCACCGTTTTGAGAGGTCTCTGTATCCGCCGTTGTTGCTTCCACTGCGCCACAAACGCTTTGTCGTCTCCCTCGAGCGGCGGCGGTGGCTTTTCGTACCAGTCTTCCTTGGCCAAAAGATAGTCGGGCATTTCCTGGAGCTCTTTTGGTGACAAACAATTGTTGGGATCACTGCAGAGAAGTGGTTTGGGAGGAACCGGTATACCATTGTCATCCATTATTACCGTGTACTTGTAAGCTTGGTAATATTCCTGCCCGTGGGCATCCACCAGAATCTCCTTGGTTCTGCCAGCATCTTCCAAGAGTTGTCGTCGCGTGCGGTGCAAAAAGAGCCGATCCCACCCGGTAAAGTCTCCTTTTTGAAATTCGTCACTTTGAATGTAATTCCGAATGGCATCTAGAAAGACCTCTTTAGTCAGTGTCCCTGCATTGAGTTGTTGTACCATATTGGGTATAAAAACGACGGGCAATCCGGCAAAGAGTTGTCGACTAATGGGACCCCGATCTTCCAAAATGGGAATGACTCCCAACAAGAGCATTTCGTAGGTCCGGAAACAATCCCATCCCACCCCCGGAGGACTGACTCCAAAGCGATACTGCGACAAGTCTGTGTAAATGTTGTGCACCGTCAACTTGCCCGTGTCGGGATTGCAGGACGCACCTCCCGTATGTTGTTCATCATTATTTTTGGGAGGACACAGCAATGCCCACAACGTTCGCCGATGCACCGATGTCATGCCAAACTGGACAAAGACTTCTTGGTCAAAATCTTGCAAGGGATGTGCGGCAAAATCCCATCGCTCTTTATTACTGGCAAATAAAAATGGATTGGTAAAGTTTGTCAGTTGCAGATAGGGCAACAAATGTTGTTCTTGTTTGGGAAAATTCTGACGGGACAATCCCAAATTCATGGGGACAAATTTGTGTTGTTCCTGGACACCGCGCATAAATGCTGGATTTTTACGATAGGCTTGTGTGTTGGGATTGGTGCCGTACCATTTGAGGAGGAGTGGATCTTGAATGAATTGTGGTTTGATTTGAGGTGAATCGGCATCGCTGCCGGCACTAATGAGAATGTAGGGGACTTTAATGTGTGGTCGTATTTTCCTCCAAAAGTAGGCCATGGGTTTGAGATGATTGTCGACTTGGATGATTGTATGGGGCACCAAACAGGGGAGTATTTGGGGGTGTAGATAGGATGCATGAAATTTTAGGTTGGACATTTTGTCTCCTCCCAGCGCGCCATGAACAATCATGGTATCGGCCAGGTCGTTTCCATCGGTGGAATGAATGAGTTGCCGTGCATCTTGATGGAGGGATATTGCCACGGTTTCGACACAGCACGTGTCACGACAGAGTTTGTGTCCCGTGTTGGGATTGTTGGGAGAAGGCAACCAAGGAGCCTTGTGGACAATGGTGGCTTGATCATAGGCAGTCCGTTGGTAGTGATGGCCCTTGGTCAGACTCTTGCTGAAAGGGTCAATGGTGGCTTCCAGTTCATAATACTGAGGTCGTCGTCGACTAGTAGGAGTACTCAGTAGTGAGCTTGAAGAGGTCTTGGTAGGATGAATGGGAAACCGTGTCGTGTTAATATTCGTAATGGAGAGAGTACCCGTGATAAAAGAACCAACGGAGATTCCTGCCACAAACCACAGAATTCCAGTTGCCACACATAGCCGTTCTCGTCGCTGGTGTTGGAGTCGACGTTGGTCTGTTGGACTGGAACCCGCTGTAGCGGTATGGATCGAGGCCCGTTTGGAAGATGCTTGGAGCTTGGGCATGGTCTTGTTGGTACCAATGGTAATGATAGACAGGAGAAGTTATTGGATGGGATGGAGGTAGCTAGCTAGAGCAGCAAGAAAAAGGCGTCAAAATCTTACAAATCAAAAGTCACTGGTTACTTCCAAAGACATTTCGTTCGAAGACACCAGATGATAGATGACCCAATTTTAATAATGACCACACATTTCCAATTCCAACTCATATCCTGTGCTCGCACTTCAACCCGAAATTGAGTTTCTCTCGTGGAGAAAACGTCACAGAATATTTAGAACGGAGTTGAGGTATAATATAAAGCCCCAAATCACCGACTTTGTGAGAAGAATGATGTCATTTACTGGCATCTGCTGTCATCTCCCCAATACCAGTACTGGCCTACAACTGTAGCAAACAGCTTGCTGAGATGCACGCTCCCTAAAATTTCTTTTGTGACCTCTGCTGTCCACAACTTGCTTCTTTGCCCTTTGCATGCAACACAGGCAGGAATTAAAAGTCCGGCTGAGTGGATACGGATTGTCCTTGTGGCAAGGATTGATCCTCACACACACACTGTACAGTACTTTTTAACTTACTTCAATTGATTATAATAAATTGATATATATATAGATATTTGGCCATGGAGAAGGACGACAGCCATCAGCAGCAGGCGAGTGTCAGCCACACGGAGGAAGGAGATGACCCGAGTATCCTGGAAATTGTGGCCAGCCGCATTCGGCAAGGCGCGGAGATGGAAAAACTCAATGCCCAAGATGGGCCCATGTCTGTCCAACAACAAGAAGAAAGAAAGCATCATCTTGTGACGGCCTCCAACGCCAATGAGACAACAGCAGCAGCAGCAGAAGCTACAGAAGACGCCCCAAATTCTACCACCAATGTTGCTCCAAATGACCTGGTGGTTTCCATATTGGCGTCACTACCCTCAGAAGATGCCACCAACGAATCACCACCTACCAAGGACATTACATTACCCAATCGAATGCAAGCGGAACAAGGAGGAGCGGACGAGGAACAAGCCGTTCCGCAGCCCGTGCTTCTACGACGAGAACAAGGACGCCCCCCAGCCAGTCTCAGTCATCCAGGTGCCTTTGCCATTGATAATACTGGTACCGGTACAACGGGTACTGTTATGACAGAAACGCAAACACAACAAGAAGAAGATACTGTACCGGAACCACCAGCAGTGACTTTGACACACGGCAATGATAATGTTGCTCCAACGGAAGAAAACAACCACCACGACAGTGGTTTGGCCGTGGCCAATCCGGTCGACGAAGAATCTCATCCCTCTAATTTGCCACAGGCGCAAGATTACAATGCTGAATCCCAACACCAAAACAGAGAAGAGAGATTGAAACAGTTCAAAACCCAGGTCTTCGTGGGAGTCATTGTCTTGTTGGTCATCATTCTCATTTTAGTGGCTATCCTGGCTCCTGGAAAGAAGAATCCAGAGGAAGATTCAGAGCCCACAGAGGCACCATCCGAGGGGCCCACCCGCAACCCATCGCAGGCTCCCACTTTGGATTCCGAGTATTGGCTATCTCTGTTCCCTGCAACCACCGTCACTGCCATTATGAATTCTCCCGGCTCTCCTCAGTTCAAGGCGTATGAATGGCTTCTCCAGGATATCGACAATTTGCCAACTCTTTCGGATGCAAGAATCCTACAAAAATTTGTGTTGGCTGTCTTTTACTTGGCCACTAACGGAGAGGAATGGACCACCAATACCCACTGGCTCAATCACAGTGTCCATGAATGTGACTGGTACCAGAAAGCCGCATTCGCCAGAAAGGATGTGCTGTCCCTCTTTGTGCCCAACTACTTGGCAGGATTCTTGGACCCCACTCCCGCGCCATGCGACAATAACAACAACACGGGGCTCTATCAACATTTATGGTTGGACCAAAATGAGCTGGTAGGATCCGTGCCCGAAGAACTGTACCTGTTGACATCCTTGCAGTCGTTGTCCTTGGAATTCAATCACCTGACCGGAACCATTTCCAGTGGGATTGCCAGTTTGACGTCATTGGAAGGACTGTCTTTATCTCGAGCGCTTCACACTGGAATGGTGCCCACGGAAATAGGGCTGCTTACCAAAATGAGAGTCTTGTTCTTAGACAACAATCTCTTATACGGATCCATTCCAGCTGCGATTTGGGATCTCACCAACATGGAGACTTTTTCGTTGGCCGCAAATGAGTTGGAGGGCTCCTTGTCCTCTCAAATTGGGACCTTTTCCAATCTGCAATGGCTCATCTTGGATGATATTGGGCTCACTGGTAAGTTCATAAATAGTTCATGGCAGTTTGTCCCCTTCATGGAATCATCCAGCGTGATGGGTGGCACTAACTAACAGTTTTCATTTCTTGTCTTGTCATCTCAAGGCACCATTCCAACAGAGATTGGACTCCTGGAATCACTGGATTGGTTGGTTCTGTTTAACAACAAATTCGAAGGTGATCTGCCTAGTGAGCTGGGCAATATGCCAAAGCTAAATACACTATCGGTTGCAAACAACTTGCTGCAAGGGACCATCCCAACAGATTTGGGTCTGGCCACTACTTTGTTTGTGCTACTTCTGGATGCCAACCAATTTGTTGGCCCAGTTCCCAGTGAACTGGGCCAGCTTACAAGCCTATTTTATGCCTTCTTCCAAAACAATCAGCTCTCGCAGTCCATCCCCACCGAGCTGGGACAATGGAGAGGAGTACAACTGCTCGACTTGTCCAACAACCAATTCTTGGGTCAGATTCCCAGCGATTTTGGTAACCTGGATTTTGTGGGGCTTTTGAATTTGGCCAATAATTCACTAACCGGCACAGTGCCTCAGGACCTTTCACGACTTAACAACACCCTGTACAGCTTGAAGCTGCAGGCGAATGAACTTTTGTCGGGTGTGATTCCTGGAGATCTCTGCAACATCAACGGCACCTGCCCTCCCAATACAGTGATTCAATGTGCAGGGCCCTATGGCTTATCATTTGACTGTACCAGCTCCCTCTGTGGCTGTGGATGCCCTTGTGATTGATTCTGGTAGATAAGAAAATACATAAGTTTGATACATTCCTGTTCTAGCAAAATTACGAGAACTAACGCGCCCTTCAGACCTATGTCGTTCGATACAGAGACCTTGGCAGCTCTGAGAAGTTCGTAAATAGTATCGTTGTACTTGCAGATGACCTAGTCGGCTTCGATGAAATCGAAAAGATGCAGACGATAACTACCGCGTTCGTAAGCATCCGCAGTACGAAGCTCGCGGTACAGTACCATTCCCGATCATGCAATCCTCTTCACGCGCGCACATGATGCCCCCGTTGTGATGAACACTCGCGACCATTCCTGTATAGAACAGGAGCCCTGATCTGGTCACCACAACGAAAGAGTGGCGCGCGGAAGAAGAAAAGAGGTGCGTGGACACAACGGAGGGTGAATTGGGGCGTGAGGAAAGGGGGAGGCGGAATCCACCGCCCTCCTTGGTACCTCTCTTTGAAATACCAGTACATCGAAGAGAGGTGCGACGTTTTCGCAACGACGGTCTTTTATCAATGCAATGAGCAATCTGAGCACGTTGCTAGACCACATCACTCCGAGAAGGATCATCCACAACTTTGCAGAGCTGGCCCCGTGTTGTAGATAGGGGCGCACCCCAGACTGCAGCAGCAATGCCCGTCGGAGACGTGCAACATGTAGTGCAGCAAGAAGTCTGATTTCAAAGGCGGTCATTGCACCCGCTTCGGCGTCCGTGACAGCGGCTGCAGGCTACTAGATAACCGTGACATTGGCTGGATTCCTCGGTTGGTTTGCTCCTGTTGGCGGGCTGGTCACCGCCACTGGCTGCTGTCACGAGGACCCTTGGACTACTAGGCAGCCAATTGCCAAGGAATCCAAGCTTTCCGGAAAAGACCCATCGGGAAATTGAAAAGCTGGCCGTGGCGCTTTCGAAGTGCTGCAAGGTTGCACAGTGCGAGCAGAGTCAAGACAAACCAACTCCGAGTCCGGATGGCCAGTCGGGCTACCGGTACAGGCCACCGCTGGCTGTGGTACCTGGTAGCCATACGGAAAGTGGTGAGCCATGCATTATGTTGAGCTCTCTTGATCTCTAAGGAAATCGACTGGCTTATTTGTATTTCGACTTGCGACATAAACGAATGGCAACACACGTGCACACGCGAGGAGCCACATACAGCTGTACCACCGAATAGCTGGAAATGGCGACCCTCTAACCTTTGACACCAATTCCAAGCTCTGGGATGTGTGTGATGTGCGCGAGCTTCGTAGAACTACTGTAGACAACGATGTTGTTGGAACTTGGAAAAACGTACAGCCCAATTTCCCTTTAGAAGAGCACAACCGAACAGATCTTGGTGAGCGATCACAAAAGCAAGCAGCCAAAAGCAATGCGGTATCTGCGTACCGGAGGCAAGTTAAACAACCAACAGGCAGGCACTGGGGTACTGGGGTTCCATATTTAAATATTGCTAAATTGGGAATAAGTACCGGTACCAGTAGTTGAGAAGACTTAAATACTGCAGGACGAATAACAATTCGAGTCGTGGATAAATCAGAATCCTAATCAATTTTTGGAGCCACCCTAATTAATTTTTGGAGCGGCTCCAAAAATTAATTAGGGTGGCTCCAAAAATTGATTAGGATTCTGATTTATCCACGACTCGACTCGAATCGTCATCGTCATTCACTCATACACTCCAAGGAAGCAGCTCGTGAACATACTGGTACCGATACAGAGTCTACTGATATCCACTGGGGCCAAACGCAGGAAAAGAAGCGACAAACCGGAGATCATTATTCATTATCAATGGTTGGTGTGTCGCACTTGCTGCCAACAGTTTGTTTGGAGCTCTTCGGTGTGGTATCAAAACAGGAGAACTCGATCAAAACCACTTCACTTGCTCCAGGCTCCAGGAAGTGTATAGCAAGGAGCCTTCTTCCAGCACGCACCGTTCGCTACAGTCCCCATCTATTTCCTGCCACTTGCTTGGATGCATACAATGTCATGAATTGGTAGATGAGCTGTGTTGGTGTGTTGGTATCAGGGGAGGCTGTTTGGGGTTATTCCGATAGCAGTGAGTTTGCCTTCGCCTTTTTGCCTTCTTTTCATCATTACTTACTTTTGCTCTTGCCACGGTCTTTTGATTATCGGCTGAGTATCGATGACCAGGGCGTGGTACTCACACTGTTTTAGCATGTGAGTATGGGTACTGAGTAGTACTCACAATTCCAAAGTCAAGTGAGTATGGGTACTGGGTAATACTCACAATTCCCAGGGTCAAGTGAGTACGGGTATCATGTGAGTACAGGTACTTTGTGGGTACTATAGAGTACTCACTGAGTACTCATAAATCAATTACTTAGGGAAATTATCTAGGTTTTTCTAGTTCTGGGCTGGGGGCTCATCAATCTTGTTGTAAAGGTCCACCATGACATCAATATCACTGTCATAATCCTCCTGTTCACATCTGCTGGCAGTTAGCTTGAGGAGATCCTTGGTCCTATTCTTAGCCCATTCCTTTCTTGCATCATTGATGCATTGCTTGTAGTTCTGGATGAATGCACTGTTCTTGTAGCAAAGAAGGCGCATTTGGAATGTCATGTCAACCTTCTGTCCATTGCTGAGTTTTCCATCAAACATGTACAAGAACTGAAAACTCTTTCTTGGAAGCCGTTGCTATCTGGCATTGCACTCACCGAGTACTCACCGAGTACTCACTGGTACTCACTTCGAAGTACTCACCGAAGTACTCACCGAAGACTCAAAAAGTACTCAAAATCCGGAGTCATGTGAGTACGGGTACTGAGTAATACTCACATTTTCTGAGGTCATGTGAGTATGGGTACTGAGTATACTCAGTACTCAGTACCCGTACTCACATCGAGTACACGCAGCGTGTATTTCATGTGAGTCCCACACCCTGTCGATGACCTTCCCCGAAGCAGAGAACCCCCGAAGAGAACGCCACGTGTGACCACAAAGAAGGTCAGTTGCTAACCAAGAAATTACAAGGAAGCATGCTTTATGATAGTATTCAGGTAGACGTGGTAAATCTGTTTGCATTATTCATAAAACTAAATGAGACTTTGTCCACAGAGTTTCTGCAACTACCTGGTATAATCACGTTTGGTGTTCCGTAAATCTAGAAAGAATAAAAGAAATATGGGATTCAAGCTTCAATGTATCGGAAAGCTTCCAAAATCTACAATAACAATAAATATATCCATGCCCATGCTAGTCATCCATCGTGATCTAAAATCTACAGTGGCAAAAGACAAAGAAGGCAGAAGGCAGGTTGCCAAACATGGAGACAACCATGTCTTACATGAATTTTAGCATGTCGCATGGTGGAATGGTGGCATGGGCGGAAGCTGTCGGAGTGACTTCCCCCCTTCCTGCGATCCAAGCTACTAGCAGCCTGAAGCCTGAACCAAACACAATCCACCTGGCATCTCTCATTTTCTTTTTGCTTTTGCATTTGCATTTGTTGACCTCACAATCAATCCCTAAAAGCCAGCTTTTATCTAGCTAGTATGATGGAAATGAATGATACCGCCATGAAAAGTTCTACGCATAAAGGCGAGGAGGCAAATGAGGAGCGAATCGAACCAAGGATGGAGGAAGAGAGGCAAAAGCAGGAGGCAGCCAGTGAGCAGCAACCACCACAACAACAAGCCAAGCAAGGGGTCAAGGCAATAACTGTGACGGAGGCGGCTTCCAGCGCGGATATCATGGCACTCCCACCACGCATGGCAAGGCATCAGGTGGGGTCCACGAGTCACAGTCAACCTGGGGCCTACGCGGAATGCAGCATGAGACTCCACCCATTCTTACCAGCAATTCCAAACAGGGCTGTGCCGTCCCCAACAGTCCCCACAGAATCGGTCGATGCAGCAAGTGTCATCCACCCAAGAAACCTGGATGATGCAGCAACAACCGTTGAGGAACCAAACCAAACTGCCTCTACCCATAGTAACAGCCTAGTAGTCGACGAAGAGAGCGGACTTGCAGTTGCCAGTGTGGTAGAAGATCGCATTATGAGTGGACAAGATCTGCCACAAGCGCAGCCATACGACACGACCAATCAAAACAAGACAAGGGATTGTCGCACCAAGAAACTCCAGACAATTGTCTTTATAGGGGCCACAGTGCTTGTAGCCGTCATTGTGATTGCGGTGACAATTGGGGTTTCCAAAAGCAAGGGATCGACGCGTACTGGGAGCACGGAAGAACCATTGATGGCCCCGTCTGATGCCCCAACCGTTTCTCCGGAATTGCACATCTTGTCGTTGTTGGATGAAAGAACCATCATATCCATGGAAGACCCAGACTCGCCTCAGTCCAAGGCATACCAGTGGCTGATAGAAGACATTGTACCATCCTACTCGGACAATCGCATCAAGCAAAGGTTTGCTCTTGCCACACTGTTCTTCTCAGCTGGTGGTGACAAATGGGATGACAACACCCATTGGCTCAACCACACTGTGCATGAATGTGACTGGTTCAATTCACCAGATTTTGCAAGAAAAGCAGAGTTATCCAAGCTGTATCCTGGATCCTATGCAGGCTTTTTGGAACCCCTTCCGACTTCCCAGTGCAGCAATGATGGCTTCTACCAACATCTATGGCTCGACCAGAATAACCTCCTTGGCTCAATTCCAAAGGAGCTGTTCATGTTGACTACATTGCAGACAATCTCAATGGGTTGGAATCAACTTGGTGGAACCATTTCGAACCACATTGGAAAGCTTACAGCATTGGAAGGACTGTTTCTACAGAGAATGCGTCTATCAGGTACCATTCCCACAGGCATCAGCTTGCTGACAAACTTGGTTGTTCTTGGTTTGAGCAGCAACAATCTGGAAGGAGAAATTCCTTCAGATTTCTGGAAGCTCGCCAATTTGAGAGATGTTAGCTTGAGGCGGCTACAACTCAAGGGCACCCTGTCCACTGAGATTGGTGCTCTTTCCAAGCTGAGAGAGTTTTTTGTGGCTGAGAGTGGCCTCTCTGGTATGTTTTTGGTTCGTTGTGTTTTGTTCTGTTGTCCTTTGTTGACCAATCTCACAGCCATTGTCTTTTGTTTTGGTCCTTCCATAGGAACATTTCCAACGGAACTAGGGAAACTCAAAGCTCTTGAATCCCTTGGGGTGTATAACAGCAGATTTACAGGAAGTCTTCCAAGTGAGCTGGGCCAGTTGAAGGTGCTTTCAGGCTTCCGTTTCAACCACAACTTGTTCAATGGCACTCTTCCGACGGAATTGGGTCTTGCCACATCCCTGACCAACCTTGTTGGACGGGACAATCAATTTTCTGGCCAAATACCCAGTGAGTTTGGTCTTCTCTCAAATCTAAATTTTATCCTAGACCTTCAAGGCAGCTTCCTGTCAGGCACCTTGCCAACTGAGCTTGGTATCTTGACTCAGCTCAAGGACCTGGAGTTCCAGAACAATCAGATATCTGGCCAGATTCCCTCAGAGTTGGGAGAGCTCAGCTCTCTGGGACTTTTGAACCTTGCCAATAACTCATTATCCGGGACGCTTCCAGAAGAACTATCCTTCCTGCAGCAGTCTCTCTATGGGATAGCTTTGGAAGGGAATCAGTTGCTTTCCGGGTCTATTCCTGCAAGTCTCTGTACTCTTAATGGAACCTGCAGCAATGGTGGTTGGGATCCATGCAGGCCTGGTTTGTCATTTGACTGCAGTGCTATGCTTTGTGGCTGTGGTTGTTCCTGTCTGGATTCACATGGGCACTAAAAGTTTCAGCGCTTCGGTCTTGGCATTCAACGTTCAACCTTGCACAAGGGGACTTCTGGCAACGCTAGCTGCATTTTTAATTTTCAACACATTCTTAGCATCTATAACGGGAGACGGCCTTACCTCATCACTCGATGAACCACCATAAGCATGAGATTCATTCATTCTCCGCGGAATCCTCTGGCTTTTGTTCGTATCGCCAGCGACGCATGCGTTTGGCAAACTGAGCTAGTGTCTGAGACATTCTCGTGGCTTCGTGTTTTCGAGGGCAGTGCTCGTTCTTAGCAGGAGGCCGCGTGCCCCCCAATATCAGATCTTCAGAAATCGGTCTGCCTCGATGGAAGCAGGGAGGGTGCAAGCAATAGCTCGGAACTGTCAGGCATCTAGCGAGGCCCAACGATTGGATCCTGCCTGGTAGAGGGTTTGCTGCCTTGAATTGGAGCTCTGGGATAGCTACTTCGCTCGTCTCTCTTCGATCGGGCCTCGCTTGTGAAATCCACCAGCCAGCTGCTCGCATCAGACGCCACCTATCCGGGCGCTAGCTAGTACTCTCAGTCTTCCTGGTACGAGGAAACTTGTCAGGCTGGCGGACCTGTACCGGTACCGTGGGAGAAGTTGGCGCTTCGGAGTCCGAGACTTGTTCGAGCACCTCAACGTGATGATCAGGTTCCGATCCTCCTTTTTCCGCTTGTCTTGTCGACTTCAGCAGCCACCATGGCTTCCGTTGCCGAAGCGATTATTTCTTTCAAGGAATTGACAGTGACAGTGCTGGTTCACTACGGAAGTCTCAGGTCAACGGCGGAAACTACAGTGTACTAGCTAGGACTACGGTGCTTCGAAATGATGTCTCGTAAGTTTCTGAGAAGACAGGAGGAAAGGAAGATCAACTAGAAAAACTGCACAGTACTATAGCTGCTTTTTGGAAGCAAAGGATCAAATTTGCTGCATTGTAACCAGAGTGCAGAAACAACCAAAGCGACCGGCGACAACTAAGGCAAACACGGCAAAGGCAATGAGAGCACCTCTTGGACTTCCACGAGTGTCAACGACGTTGTTGATCACATCCCATCCCATGCAAAGCGTGCGTTTGTCAAGTTTGTTGTGATCAGGTTGCATAGATCCATGCTCATCTGCTGGCGATGAAGAAGGAAGGTGAAAAGGAATGCAGAAGTGGCTACTGGAGAGAGGGAGAGAGTCTGGTGGTTTGGCTGGCCGGGGCCAGCGTGATGCAGATGAGGCCCAAGATGAAGGTACAACATCAAGGACAACGAGTGGAACAGACCAGCAGGAAAAAGTATACAGCGCCAAACCATGGTTGTTTGCGTGGTTGCTTGGTTGCTTGCAGGTACTCTCCCACAGCATTGTGCAGAATTCGATGTTTCTGTTCCCCGGGGCTTCGGTAATGTAGGGTTCCCTGCAGATAGTTAGAGCTCATCACGTGCAAAGCTGGATACAGCACTGACTAGATTTGTGTGAAGTAACCAGCCAAGGTACCATTTTCTTTAGTACCGGTACTGAGACTCCCTTCTTTTGCACAAACACTTCAGAGGCCAGATCCCTTCTGAATTAGACAGCTTCAGACCCATGGGACCCATACCATAGGAGTGGGCAACCAATTCTCGCTCTTTGGGAGAGAGAACGTGGGTGCGGGCTTGAAGAAAAGCGCGTCGATCCAGTAACAAATTCTCAAATTCTTCTTACCGTGTAGTGTTCGTCCGCTGGAAGCATTAAAAGAAGCAAGGCACTCTCCTTTCTCGTGAACTGTCTCTCCTGATGAACAGTGATGCTTGGGCTTGAAGACTAAAAAACGCTTTGGGCTTCGGGTGGGAACATCGTCGCTGGCTCAGAGAAACCCTTGCTGTGAAGCAGGCTCGCCGATGGGGTCAGAGTGGTACCTGGTACCGGTACTAAGAAGTTTTCCCGCAAACAAATGTTTACATTGAAATTCAACATTCATTTTTATTTTACCTAAAGTAGCCTACCGAAAATATAATGGATTAAATGAATAAAAACATGTTTTTTGATTTTTTATATTGCGGGATGTGGTCGAAAAGGTACCTACTGTCAAAAGATCTTTTTCCTGGGGTCAAAGGAACGGAAATCAGCACACAACAGAACATTGCTACAGTAAAGACTGGAAACTGATTCGATTCCACCCCTTCTCGATCGTAACTGGACATCGGAGGCATGCAAGTGGCACTATCAAGGGGTTTAGAGTAGGGAGGTTATCTATACGGAACACAGATTATGCTTTAGTCTCTTGCCCCCCAGTTTTGCCGCATCTTCAACGGGCAATACAGGTTTGGCGCACCGTATCAAATACCTTTCGAAAGTACAACTCCTCCACCATGGAATATTCAGCTCCTAGCACTAAAGAGGATGATAGCAACTGGTTGATGGACATTGTGGCTGCTCGAAATGGTCAGCCACATGTGCTCCCCATGAGACAGATTCATGTGCATGGGGATGGCAACAGCAACAGGGCCAACGAAGCTACACAAGATGAGCGATTTATCATGAAGGTTGTTTCAGAGCGGCTAGAGAGACAACAGCTGCCTTGTGGCCAAGGAGCGACATGCCACGATGAAGCGCATCCAGCAAAGCAAAGAGGTGAGTCAGCTGGCAACTCTTTGGGTTTGGCCTTGGCTCCGCACATGATAGGCGTGGGCATCTGGCACGAAAGAACTATGAGTCAACCCGGGGCCTATGCTGAACCCGGCATTCGATGCACGTTCATGGTTGAAGCTTTGTCATCGTCACCAATTTCAGACGACGACGAAAGTGCCCAGGCAAGCTGCATCGATACAGATACAGATACAGAAACCGCAGTCGACAGTTCCGGCACCAGTGGGAGTGGCTTGGCCGTTGCTGAGTTGGTAGAACATTCCATGGGACCTCAAGGTCTGCAACTTGCTCAACCATACATTGAAGAGGAAAAAAGGAAAACTCAGATTCCACAGGTCAAGAAACTACCAACTATCCTCTGTGTGGGTGCCATGCTGTGGGCAGCAGTTGCTGTGCCAGCAGTGACTATTTGGGTTTCAAAAAGCAAGGGATCAGTCATCAAGAGCATGGAAGAACCATTAGTGGTTCCTTCCGAGGCCCCAGCCATTTCTCCTGAAGTGTACATTTTGTCTTTGTTGGATGAAAGAACCATCATATCCCTCGAAGACCCAGACTCACCTCAGTCCAAGGCATACCAGTGGCTAATACAAGATTTCGTACCATCCTACTTAGACGACCGCATCAAGCAAAGGTTCGCCCTTGCCACGCTGTTCTTTTCAGCTGGTGGCGATGAATGGGATGATAACACCCATTGGCTCAACCACACTGTGCATGAATGTGACTGGTTCAATTCACCAGATTTTGCAAGGAAAGCAGAGTTATCCAAGCTGTATCCTGGATCCTATGCAGGCTTTTTGGAACCTCTCCCATCTTCTCAATGCAGTGATGATGGCTTCTACCAACATCTTTGGCTCGACCAGAATAACCTCCTTGGCTCACTACCAGAGGAGCTGTACATGTTGACTTCATTGCAGACAATCTCAATGGGTTGGAATCAACTTGGTGGAACCATTTCAAACAATGTTGGAAAGCTTACAGCATTGGAAGGACTGTTTCTACAGAGAATGCATCTATCAGGTACCATTCCCACAGGCATCAGCTTGCTGCCAAACTTGGTTGTTCTTGGTTTGAGTAGTAACAATCTGGAAGGAGACATTCCTTCAGATTTCTGGAAGCTCGCCAATCTGAGAGATGTTAGCTTGAGGCGGCTACACCTCAAGGGCACCATATCCACAGAGATTGGTGCTCTTTCCAAGCTGAGAGAGTTTTTGGTGGCTGAGAGTGGCCTCTCTGGTATGTTTTTGGTTCATTTTGTTCTGTTGTCCTTTGTTGACAAATCTCACAGCCATTGTCGTTTGTTTTGGTCCCTCCATAGGTACAATTCCGACGGAAGTAGGGCACCTAAAAGCTCTTGAATCCCTTGGGTTGTATAACAGCAGATTTTCAGGAAGTCTTCCAAGTGAGCTGGGCCAGTTGAAGGTGCTTTCAGGCTTCCGTTTCAACCACAACTTGTTCAATGGCACTCTTCCAACAGAATTGGGTCTTGCCACATCTCTGGTAAACATTGTTGGGCAGGAAAATCAATTTTCTGGCCAGATACCCAGTGAGTTTGGTCTTCTCTCAAATCCAGATATGATCATAGACTTCCAAGACAACTTCCTCACAGGCACCATCCCAACTGAGCTTGGGCAGACCAAGGTCAAGGACCTGGAGTTCCAGAACAACCAGATATCCGGCCAGATTCCCTCAGAGTTTGGAGAGCTCAGCTCTCTAGGATTTTTGAATCTTGCCAATAACTTATTATCTGGGACGCTTCCAGAAGAACTATCTTTCCTGCAGCAGTCTCTCTATGGGATAGCTTTGGAAGGGAATCAGTTGCTTTCTGGGTCTATTCCTGCAAGTCTCTGTACTCTTAATGGAACCTGCAGCAATGGTGGTTGGGATCCATGCAGGGCTGGTTTGTCATTTGACTGCAGTGCTACCGGTATGCTTTGTGGCTGTGGTTGTTCCTGTCTGGATCGGCCTGGACACTAAGGCTTCAGTGCAACAGCTTCAAACCTTGCGGTTGTGGTTTTCCCCTAGAACCCCTGGCCTGTCGTTCTCCCATTTCCTTGATGACAATTTCAGCTACGCAACTACCTTGCCTGTCTAGCTAGCTAGACAATCTCTAAATCGCTAAAGCATTTTGATGAATACGCTTTGTAGGGTTGCTGATACCTGGTCTCCCGTTCAGCATTTGGTGCCAGCCCCTGTTCGTCCATATAGAATCTCACTTTGACGTTATACCTGAGTATGCTTGGGGAACAACGAGACAAACACTACTAGGCAGTTTCGGTGACCAAGCTAAGCTCATGGTCGAAGAATAGCAGCTTGTTGCATAAACCACTATGCCGGTACGTGAGTTATGAGCTTTCACTCAGTGCTGATAAGGAAGATGATAAGTCTCTAAAGTTTTCTAGGCTGCTTGTTGATGTGTCCGTAGTCTTGTCGTGCTACGCTAGTGTTCCCGTTCCGTCATGTTGACATCGAACCGAAACTTTCCGCTCGATCGATCGATCGATCCAGACAAACAACGGGAGTTCATGAACGGATCGTACTTCACTAGATCTTCGTTCTGCCTGTCCTGTTCATGGCTTGGCTTGACTGGTCTGGAATGGTGAGACCGTGGTTTGACTTGTGCTTTTATCCTTGGTGCGCGAATGAGAGGCAGCAGCCTTGCTCCGGATGTTGTGGGCACGAACGGCAATCACAATCACATGTGTGGAGGCTGCACACGAGGCGCTCTCTGGCTGTAAGCGTGGAGTCAAAGAACGGCGCGACGACTGGCTGGTGGATTAGCCTACGAGGGGTGGGGGATTGTAGACGTTTTGGCTTGCTTGCTTCGTGTTTTTTGATGGACGAGTGAATCATCCCTTTTGTTCGTTCGTTCGTTCGTTCATTCATTCGTTCGTCACTAATACGCGTAAAGCGGACGACGGTGAGTGGTTTTGGTTTCGGGCTGGTGTTCTTCTTGCTGTGGCATCATCGTCCGACGTACTCGTTCTTGTCGTTCCGTTGAAGAAAACCTTCGTGCGGCTCGTTCCTGTTGCCGCAACTGTCGTTCGTGTTCTCGGGTTTGCCGTTCTGCTTCTCGCACTTGTCGTTCTTGCAATCGCATGCGTCGTTCTCGTTCGAATCGATCAAACATTTCCTGTATTTGTGCCGATCGTTCGTTATTCTGTTGTTCCCACTGTGTCATTTCCCGTTCCCATTCTTGGGTCCGTTGTCGCGATTCTTCTTCCATTTGTCGCAATAGTTCGGCAATATCGCGCGAACTGGCACGGCGGGTGGAAAAGGCGCGTCGAGGATGAGAATGACGACGTTGTTGATGCGCAATGCGATTGCGATCGTAGACGGCTCGATGATGTCGTAGCATTTCCCATACATTGTTGAGATATTGCATGCGTGCCGTGGACTCTGTGGAATTGTTCTTGTCGGGATGGTAGGAACGACTCTTTCGTAGGTACTTTTTCCGCAACTCGGCATTGGAACATGTCGGATCCGCTTCCAATATTTCGTATAGATCATTGTGGGGATCGTAAATGGAATTGGCAGGATCGAAAATGGTCGATGTGGGATCAAATCGATGGAACCAGGAGGAGGACATCATGGTAGCTAAAGGTTGGGTAAGGTGGGTATCATGGTAGGTAGGTAAGGTAGCATGGAGCATGTCCATCAATGGGCAGCGGGAGTGGATTGTAGGTATCAAGTTCAGCAAGATATTGAATTAATTGAAGCATCAGATTAAATGCAAGCAGGTAGAGTAGAAAGACGTGAGATTGACATGAGTAAGATGGTAGCACATGGGGGGTACCAGTAGAGGTATACAGTGACGTGTTCACTGAGGCAAGTAACCGGTATACCCCACTCACATGAACTCTTTCAAATGCCACGGATAATCAATAATCTTAAGGAAGATCAACTGATAGCTGATGAATCTTCGCCTCGTTCCAGCTGGACGGTAGGCAAGTGCAGGTCGAGATCTAGCTAGCTAGTGTTAGAGCTTGCCTTGGGTAGAAATGGGGATGATAGGTAAACGGTAGCAGAGGCCGTGAGAACAGAAAAGATAAGGTAAGGGCAGCATCAGGTAGTTGGATAAAAGAGCCCACACAATCAAGAGGAAAGAAAGGAAGCAAGAAGATCAGAATGTAAGTTCACAAACTAAAAACAGAACAAGAGCTACATGTACATGTATGTAGCAGATGAAGAGGAAGCAACTTACGAGAACCTTGAACGCCTGATCACCTGCTATCTATCTTGATATCTATCTAACTTATTGTGGTACGGTATCCAATTACTCAATCAGTCAGTATATACCATGAGTTACGATATCACAGGTGCTTCTATTCCGTCGTCTCATTTATTCTTTCGAAAGAGGCCGTTTATATGTGCCATGGTTGCGGTCGATCGTGCCGTCCAAGACCAAAAAGAGTTGCCGGTTTTTGGCTGGCATCTTTCGCACCACCGAATTTGGCAGCCAAATATTCTCGCAGCTATGCTGGGTTACTATAGTAGTCTCCCCCTTTATAATTAATTCCCCTGAATTGAACCAAAAGGGGTTACCGTATCAAGGGAGCATTGACACCGCGACCATGGCATTTTCCCGAGCAACTTTTGAGTGCAGCAAGAAATCGCAAAAGATGATCGAGCTCCATTTCAGTGGCTAGCTAGCTAGCTAGCTCTATCAGCTTGGTTAAAAGGCATTCACATCACTTGAAAGCCATGACGGGAACGTCCCACCTACAAAAGATATAAGGGGGTCATCATGATTGGAAACGAATCGAATCTAGTCCAATCTACCTAATCAACTATTGCAGTCGCAAATACACCCACACAGCAGGCCAGTACAGTCGAATGACAAGCCTTCTGGTCCACCACTGGATTCCCAAGAGCTGCTGATCCAAGTGCCATTGATACTGCACAGATCCATGGGAATTGTGCCGGACAGGAGTGGATTGCCTTGTAGATTCAAAGTGTAGAGGGAATGCTGCAAAGCCGAAAGCAGTTGTGGAAAGCTTCCAGAAAGCGAGTTGTTGGCCAATGTCAATAGTCCCAATGATGTTAGCTCAGACAGTTCCTCTGGAATCTGACCAGAGAGTTGATTGTTCAAAAGATCCAGCTCTACCAGGTTGGTCAAGAGCCCTAGCTCTGTTGGAATCGTTCCAGAGAGTAGATGGTTGTGTTTCATATCCAGAGACACCATCTTGGTGGAAAGAAGTCCAAGTTCACTCGGCAAAGGTCCACTCAGTTGGTTCTCACTGAGTTTTAGATAAGTGGTGGATGTGAGGAGGCCAATTTCAGTAGGGAGGGTCCCTTGGAAAGAGTTGCCATACAAAGATGCCACCACAAGCTTGGAAAGGAGAAACAGTTCACTAGGAATGCTCCAGGACAATTGATTCCTTCCAACAAAGAAATGTTCCAAGGACACTGCTTGACCCAGCTCGGCCGGAAGTGCTCCTATAGATTCGTTGCAACAAAGAACCAAACATGAGTTGTCTTCGCCAGGTTTGATCGAGCTGGACCCATTAACATGTTGTTGTAAAATTGAAAAAACTCACCCGTTAGACTGCATTCATCCATGACAAACCATCTCAACTTGGCCAAGGATCCAATCCCACTACCAATCGTTCCCCCAATTTTTTGATTGCGATGTATCATGAGAGTATCCAACTGGGAAAGATTCCACAACTCTTCCGGGACGGTTCCCTCAAGTTTGTTATTACCCAGGGAGACAAATTGTAGGTTGCTCAGCAATCCAATTTCGGAAGGAATCGTGCCCGTCAAATGCAGCCTTCCCAAGAATAACCCCTGCAAGTTTGTGAGGGTTCCAATACGAGTGGACAGAGTCCCCTTGACCTCTGGATTCCATCCCAGCGATAATGTCTGCAAGTTTGTCAACTGGTACAGTTCATCGGGCAATGATCCCACCAAATTATTGATGTCGAGCCACAAATGTTGGTAGATGCCATGGCTGTCACATGGTGATGTGGGCAGTGGTTCCAGCAAGCCTTTCATGAATCCCGTATAAATTTGTGCCAGTGTTGATTTTCTGGCAAATTCGGGGTTGTGAAACCAGTCACATTCATGAATGCTATGGTTCAGCCAGTGCGTCGTATTGACCCAAGCGGTAGTTCCACCCGTGGCAAAGTAGATGGTTGCCAGAGCGAATTTTTGACGAATTCTTTCCTCGGATAATATTAATAGATGGTCCACGTCCTCCTCCATGAGCCACGCCAATGCTTGCGATTGCGGAGATGCTGGATTCTCCGTCATAACTTGCTGCTGGGACTGTGCGGGTACTACTAGCTGCAAAATGGAATCTTGTAGGGATGTGGGTGCTTGGGAGGGATGGCTCGTTAGTATCATGGGTGGATCTGTGGTTTCTTCGGCGTGATTTAGTAGAGCGAGAAGAAGAATTCCAAGCATCACCAATACCAGAATCCCCACACCAGCCGTTGTCTTGATGAGTTTCTGCCGTTTTCTCTCCCTGGCTTCCGACGAAGTGTAAGTAGTCGTCTCATGATAGCTTTTGGCCAGTGGCAATAAGTCGGAAGGTTCGACCAAGTTGGCTTTGGGCAAGGAGATAGAACTGCTGGGCTCCTCGACGGGTGGTGGTGCTGGCGATTCCTCCTCCGTGGCATTATGATGGTTGCCCACGTGTACGGCACCAATTTCTTGTCGACTCTGGATGTTTTCCTCTCGTCGTAATCTGGGTGGAGGAATAGGAATATTCTCGAGTGTACTGCTACCATCATGTGAATCGTTGTCATTGCGACTGAGTTCGGAGGAAGAAAATCCGTCTGTGGATTGTCGAATCAAGAGAGGAGATGCTGCTGCTGCTGCTAAGGAGGTGTCATTGAGTCTCTGTGGCTCCGCACCAGGTGCTTCGACATAAGCGCCAGGGAGACTGACAATGCTCTCTCGTTGTACCGACCGCGTGACTTGGGCATCCACGTGTTCTGCCGTGTCTTGCGCTTCCAGATCGGGTGCTTCTAACGGTACAGAATCTGATGTCTTAGTCTTATTCTCTTTACTGTCTTCATCATTGGACACCTCTATCTTTTCTTCCATACTAGAATTCAGTTCCACCAAGTTCGTAATACATGTAGTAGCATCATTGGTCGAGGAACGTGTACATGTACTGCTTCGAATGCGGACAATCTCCAAAAGATCCAGTTCTTCTTCCACCTCTGTCTTTGCCTCTTCCTCTTCCTTCTTCTTCTCTTGGTCTGCTATACATTCACCTTTCATGGCTTCATTGATTGGCTCTCCTATCTCGTCTACGACGGTACTCGTCTATATATATTATCGATAGATCCATGCAGCAGTTAACTTGTTCATCAATCCAATCAGAGTTTAGACTTGCTGCATGCTCGAACAGATCGAGGCCTGGAGTCTCGAGGTTATTACGTGCCCGTTCGGTGTGAAAAAGAAGAGAACCAGAGAACTTCCTGGAAGGAAATTCCGGTCATTGACGGCCACATTGTTCAGGAAGGGTAAAACAGCTAAGTTGGCTGCACTCCACCAATGCTCCGAAAGCGCGATGAAGACAGTGGCACCTGGTCTGCCTGCCTGCTCATACAAACATGATGGAGATAGTCTCCCTGGTGTTTGGTCCACAGTTTGGAGAGTTGGCCCTTGAGGAAGTTGTTCCACCCAATATGGTTCTGGTCGATGACCAGTTGATCATGAGTGATAGGAGATGATTGAATCAATCCTGTTCTCTCCTGCACCCGTACTCAATTTCATCATACAGTACCACTGAATATAAATATGCTTGCAGCCACGATACGAGTTTCAGTAGATTTCCAAAGATGGTAGACAACCCGCTGCTCGATTGACAAGATCTTTTTCTAAAGGGTTTGATTTTTGCAATTTTTAAACTAGCTAACCCAAGAAAAACAGACAAACTGACTACCGGAACTGGCCAGCCAGTGAGACGCACGTTGTCGTCTCCTCATTTTTCAATTGCCCCATGGTGATGGAGAAAAGAACTCTAAATACATGGCAAAGGTAGCTAGCTAGCTATTACTCTTAGAGCATGCAACACCGGGGTACCCCAAAACTCGCGCATTTTGGGTTGCGCAAATCACAACCCAATAGCCGTGACCTAAACATGAATCTCATCGCAAATGACGTCATTTTTTGCAGATGTGATTTGCCCAAGGCTTGCACGCTGCGCAAATCTGGTGAATTTGCTCTGGACCCAAAGCCAACCCAAAGGGCAAATCCCATAAATAAACCGACAGATCCGATGAAAATCCAATGAGAAGAGGTGCGATCTTGGGGTTTCGGAAGATATCATCGCAAGAATTGCACAGCACGCAAAATTGATAGTAGTACGCCTCAATTCACTTCTCGAAAATGACGTCGGAAATCTCACACTCTTGCACATTTTTTGGATGCTTTCATCATTAACTCATAGCTTGATTAATAGTTTAGGTGGTGAATTGTTCTGTTCAATTTGTTGCAGTAGATCCATCGGCCGATCTGCCGACTGCCGATCTGCCGATTGACTTAACTCAACGAATGTCGAAACGGTAGAGACCAAACCAAGACGGTCACCTATCAAGTCAAAGGTGCTCTACAAGATAGTCCAGGCAGTTCCTTGTTAATCGGCTTAGTTACGGCTGCCGATCAAGTACAAGGAGCGGCAGATACCCATGGTCAATCTTTTCTTTGCAAAGAGGATAGGTTCGTCTAGGGTTAAGTTTAGTATAAATGGCCGATCGTGGTTTTAGGGTATTGGTTGCTTTTTACCCAAACCAAACCCAAAACCAAATGATGTCAGCGAGTAGAATGTGGGTCCCATGTGGCACTCGTGGGTCCCACGTGGCACTCAATTGAGTCTTGACAAGACTGTATGTATGGGTTTTGGGGTACCCTGGTATTGAATGCTCTTAATAGTAGGGTCAAAGGGATAATTTGTGGCGCTCGGTCAGTTTCACGATCTGCCGCCTCTCCGGTCACTTCTTAAAAAGCAAGCAACAGCCCCCCACTCGATCAATCGATTAAAACACTGTCCTGACTTGTCTTGTCACTTAGAAAGCCAGCTAAAGCGGCTTCTCATGCGTCAGAGCTCTTCACCAGTGGCCACCAAAGAGTCCGCAAACGTCTTTTACCTCTCATGGAGGGTAGTGTTAAACATTCAGTTCCCCATGAAGGTTTCAGTCACCATGGCATATGGCATGCATCAAACAAAAACTTCGCAGCCCAAACGAAAGAGAGCAAACCCCACAAAAACGTGCAATTGATAGCTATAGCTGGTAATCGACGAGTAGCAAACTAGTTTAATGGTTGCCGTTGCACATTCTCGATCATAGATTAAACAAACAGGCTCCATGCAAGCAACAACGACGGGTCCAAAGATGAAGTGTCACACAGAGACCAACCAAAAAGATAAAGATGACGAAGGTGACCTGCTCGAAAGCGTTTTGATCCAACGCAACAATGAAGCAGTCAGTGCCATTGCCAGTGCCTGTGCCAATAACACCATTGGCGAGCAGCTACTAGGGCAGCATCAATCAAAACCAAGTGATTTATCCTCTGTTACTACTAATAGAAATACCAACAATTCCATTCCCACAACGGGAATAACTACGCCGGCCAGATCAGGTATGGAAGGGGAAGACAGCCACAATGATGATGAAGCATTCCTCATGGAAATTGTGTCCGGGAGGATTTTATCCACTACTCCACAACCATTATCAGGGGGAAAAGAGCCAGGACCTCACCAACAAGCAGAAAGTACCAATAAGCAAGTAGTATTACCCAATCGGATGCAAGTGGAAGTAGGAGGGGACGAGGAACAAGCCATTCCGCAGCCCGTGGGTCTAATAAGGGGGGCAGATCGCCCCACAGCCGTTATCAGCCATCCGGGCGCCTTTGCGATTGATACTGCTGGTACAAGGGGTACTGTGGGTTTGCCTTCTCCAGACGAATCTACTTCATCATCGTCAGAAGAAGATATTGGTGGGTTGGCTGTGGCCAATCCCGTGGAAGAAGAAGCCCATCCCAATAATTTGCCACAGGCGCAAGATTACAATGCCGAATCTCAAGACCAAAACAGAGAAGAGAAAATGAGACAATTCAAAACCAAGGTCCTCTTGGGAGTCATTGTCTTGCTGTTGGCCATCATTATCATCTTGGTAGCCATTCTGACTCCTCGAAAACAACAGGCCAAGACGGATCTTGTCCCAACAGCCACATCCAGCCAGTCACCCAGCAGCACTCCATCTCAGGCTCCCAGCACCTTTACAAATCACATCTTATCACTTTTCCCATTCGAAACTGCCGTGGCCATTTCCGAGTACCCTCAATCGCCTCAGTCCAGGGCATTTGAGTGGCTCTTGGAGGACAGCCACAAATTACCCTTCTATGAAGACAGCCGGATCATTCAAAAGTTTGCCCTAGCCACATTCTACTATGCTACAAACGGAGACCATTGGTACACAAACACAAATTGGCTCAACCACAGCACCCACGAGTGCGAATGGTTCCTACAGCCCGAATTTGGCAGGAAATCCATTATATCCCAACACTACGATAGCTACCTGACTGGATATCTGGAACCGCCACCTGACTCACCCTGCAGCAACAATGGCCTCTACCAACATTTGTGGTTGGACATGAACAATTTAGTCGGCAGTCTACCAGAAGAACTCTATTTGCTGACTTCTCTAGAAACTCTCACACTTGCATTCAACGATCTAAGAGAGACCATTTCAACAAGCATAGGACAGCTCACAGACTTGGAAGGACTCATCTTGGGACGATTGCAATTGAGTGGAACCATTCCCTCAGAAATTGGCTTGATGAAACGCCTCTATGCTATCTCATTGCTTGACAGCCTTCTGGAGGGGTTCATTCCTTCTGAAATTTGGACACTTACAACGTTGGATACAATTAATCTGCAGAACAATCCTCTTCTAAAGGGCACAATTCCTACCGAAGTTGGCCTAATGTCTGCCTTGAGATGGCTGATTTTGGATAACTGCAGTATTTATGGTAAGCCATGCAAGCATCAGCCACACGCTGGCAATGAAGGGAGAAGTGCTCACAATGTACTGTTTACTGCTTTGAACTCTAGGTTCCATTCCAACAGAGCTAGGCAAAGCAGATGCCTTGGATGTACTTTACCTTGCATCCAATCAGCTTTCCTCTACCATACCCAGCGAGCTTGGGAATCTCCCAAATCTTTCCTGCATACAGTTGTTTGGCAATTCTCTGCAGGGGACTCTCCCTACAGAGCTGGGCATGGTCACCTCAACAACCATGCTCACACTCAATGGCAATCAGCTCACTGGCCCACTGCCTAGTGAGCTTGGGCTCCTTACCAAAATGTTTATTGCCCTTGAACTGGGCAACCAGTTTCTGTCGGGAACCATTCCAACAGAACTGGGACGCCTGACAAATGTTTTGGAGCTGGATCTCTCCGTTACAAAGGTATCCGGGCAGATTCCTAGTGAGCTGGCCCAGCTCACATCCCTTGGCCGTTTGAGCCTTGCCAATAATGCTATATCTGGCACTGTCCCACAAGAGCTTGCTGAACTACAGCCATCCCTGTACGCTTTGAAGCTAGAGGGCAATCCACTCTTGTCAGGGACTATTCCACCCATTTTATGCCAAATCAATGCAACATGCATTGGCAACGCGTGGAAGACATCGTGTGAGGAGGCGTACGATGGATTGTCATTTGACTGTACTGGCATACTCTGTGGTTGTGATTGTCCATGTTATGGATGAGCGGTTTAGAATACCGGCCCTTGTGGGGTTCATTTTGACTGTCCTGGCATTCTCTGTGGCTGTGAATGTCCTTGTGGATAAGCTGTCATGCACTCTCCCTGAATTCTTAGAAAATAATTCATTCTTGAATAAACATGCTATAATAGATGAACTTTTGTGGCCCCATTGGATGTCACTCAATCCTTCCTGAGGTACCGGTAAGGTGGGGCGACCAAACATCGTTTCCAAGACCATGCACCATAGTATACCGGTACCATCCCTCGGTACCGTATAGCTTACTCCGTGTCGCGTTCTCGTTGGCTGCCTTATCTTTCTTTGGTCGGCCAAACCAAGAGCCCATGTGGCAATCTCGGGAATCCTAGCTAGCTATCTAGCTAGTACACGATCCTTTGCCATGGGGCTACCGTACGAATCTTCAAAAGTCCATGCATTAAATACTTAGGATCACAGCTCATCTAGATCATCGTAGTTGCGTCGTTTCGGTGGTGGGATCAAGGACGGGTTGGTGCGAGTCTTTTTCCCGTCGTGCGCAATCTTGTCAATGGATTGCGGATAGGGGCGGTAGAGCTCTCGATAGATGACTTCTCCCAGTGCTTTTGGATCCGCAAGACTAGTTTGGGGAGGCTTCGGATTGTAGGCTTGATGGAATTGCTTGGTATAGTCTCGGACCCGTGCCACCGCTGCCGATGCGGGGAGACACTCGCAGGATTCCTTTTGCAGGGCGTGATATCCGGCACATCCAAAAATGGTGGTTCCCGTGACGAACAATTGTGCCATTTGGAGACATTGGGACTTGTCGTCGTCATGTCGGCGTTGACACGTCTGCTGCATACAAGTCTGAAAATCCGTTTCGCACAGGGGTTTGTGAATGCCACACGCTTGGTAACAGGCATCGTGGAAATCGCAGCACTGGTCAAAGACTCGATCGTAATTGCCCACTAATTGACGACGAAGGCTGTCGGGGACGGAACAACCGTTGGAATAGGGACGAAGCCGTCGTTTGGGAACGGGATACAGACCTTTCTTATTACAAGCACTCGGACAAGACCCGTCTTTTTCTTGCATGGCCACTCCACTGAGTGCACTTAGCATATCGTCCAAGCCGCCCATGTCTACCTTTTTCTTATTCTTCTTTTTCTTCTTTTGGGCAGACACATCAGTAAGGTACAACAGAAAGACTATTATTAGGAGAGACAGGGATACACTGGCACGTAGTCGCATCATCTTCGCAGGGATCTTTTGATATCTTCTGTCGATCGGTGCCTCGGGACGGTCGGACCTCACTCGATCTTGAGCGCGGAAAGGACCAATATATTCAATATGCTAGTACCCCCGCTGTCCTCAACTCCAACCAACTTCACGGTTTTATCTTGACGTTAAGATATTCCAGCCAAGCAGGCAGGACGGGATCGAGCTGCCGGTGTTGGTATTACGCATTGGTACCGGTACTGGTACCGGTGTTCTTGAAAAACCTCACGGATGACAAATCTTTATTGTTTCTCGAAAACGAGGTGACTAATAGCTAGCTAGCTAGCTAGATCCTTGCTGGGCTCTGACGGTAGCGTTAGGCAGCCATGGATTCGATTCACGAAAGATCGAGTAACATCCAATGAGGGGAACTTCGTTCACAAATTGCTTTTCTAAAAAGGGAGAGCTCGCTTTTATGTAAAAAGGGAGAGTGCATGAGAGCTCGCTTTTATGTTTGGTCCCCTGCTGACCATACCATCATAGGATCCCATGACATCCAATGAGGCCACACAAGGCAATTTTCATTCACAAATTGCTACAATTTCTCGAAGAATTCCGGGAGAGTCATGAAAGCTTATCCACAAGGACAATCACAACCACAGAGAAGGCCAGTACAGTCAAAACTAAGCCCAAAAGGGCCAGTGCATACATTCAAAGGCCCTCCATCGATACAGGTACCATTGATATTGCATACACCAACGGGGATGGTACCAGACAAATTTGGGTTTCCTTCCAAGCCCAAATTGTACAAGGAATGCTGAAGGGATGAAAGCTCCAGCGGAACTGTACCTGAGAGCGTGTTGTTTTCCAATAGCAAACGACCCAGGGACCATAGTTGTCCGAATTCGCTTGGAATCGGACCATCAAGCAAGCCATTCTGGAGTTCCATCTTTTGCACATTCGTCAATTGCACCAGCTGTGTTGGGATAGTCCCTGAAAGAAACTGATTGCCAAGCTTCAACAAGGTAGTAGCAGTGAGATGACCCAACTCAGATGGCAGTTGTCCTTCCAATTTGTTGTCATTGGTATCCAAATGGAGCAGACCCGAAAGTAGACCCAGTTCCGTGGGAAGAGTTCCTGAGTAGCTATTGACACCAAGAAGAATCCACTCCAAGGATTCTACAAGCCCAATCTCTGTAGGTAAAGTCCCTTTCGGTACCATAGATCAGTAGAATGTATGAATATGTGAATCAGTTTGTGTCTGGACCACCAAAACCAACCTTGACAAAGCATCGTGATTTGCTTACCAGAAAGATTTGATTGTTCTGTTATCAACCATCTCAATGAAGGGATCTTACCAATGTCGGATGGAATGGAGCCCCCCAGGTTGGGCATCCCTCGAAGGATGAGTGAATCCAACTTTGTGAGTTGCCAGATTTCAGAAGGAATGGATGCCTGGAACTTGTTACTCGCCAGGGTCAGTATATTCAGGTTGCTCAATAAGCCCAATTGTGTAGGAATGGTACCACTGAGATGCTGATCACCCATTACCAGCCCTTTCAAAGCTGTCAGCTGTCCAACGTAGCTAGATAGAGTCCCTTTCAGCTGATTCCAGCCCACTGAGAGTGTTTGTAATGATGTCAGGAGATACAGCTCTGTTGGCAGAGAATTGCCAAGGTCATTCGTATCTAACCACAGGTGCTGGTAAAGCCCAGCATCGTCACAGATGGAGGATGGAGGAGGCTCCATGAATCCTCTCAAGTATTCGGGAACAAGCTGAGCAAGCACATGTTTCCTGGCAAAGGCGGGCTGGTGGAACCAATCACATTCATCGACACTGTGGTTGAGCCAGTTGTCGACTTTTTTCCAATTGTCTCCACTAGTGGCAAAGTATAGAGTGGCCAGCACAAACCTTTGTAGGCTTCTGGCATTGGAAAGATCAGGCAAACTTTCGATATCCTTTAGAAGCCAACGGTAGGCTTTGGACTGAGGTGAGTCTTCATTGTTGAGGATCGCCGTGACTGTTTCTGCCGGGAATAGTGACAGCAAAGAGTGGGCATAGGAGGATGGTGCCTGGGATGGTGCGTTGCTGGGTGGCTCACTGGGTGTGGCTGTTGGGACAAAATCTTCATTCTCCTGTTTCTTTGAAGGTGTCACAATGGCTACCAAAACAAGAATGATGCCCAACAATCCAATGACTCCCAAGAGGACCTTAGTTTTGAACTGTTTCATTCTCTCTTCTCTCTGTCTGTCCTCACTCTCCACATTGTTATCCCGAGCCTGCGGCAACTCCTGGGGGTCTTTTTGGTTTTCCTCGGATACCAAGTTGGCCACTGCTAATCCATCATTACCTTCTTCTGATGGTGATGAGATGATAGACTCGCTGGAATCACTAGCGTGCGTTGGAGGATTATTATTGTCAGGGCCCCCTCCTGCTGAGATGGCACCTGGCTGCACCTGCCGTTCGATATTTGACTCCCGGGCGAGTCTTGGCAGTGTCATAGTATTGCCAAGCTCTTCGTCCTCCGAATCTTCTTCGTTTTGGCTCTGCCTAGTAGTACTTTCCTCGGTGGAAGCAGCACTGGGTTGCTGTCGGACAACAAGTTGTCCGGCATAAAATGTGGTGGCTCGTTGTGGTTCCATGCCAGGGGCGGCGGCGTACGCACCGGGACGAATGCGCTGCTCACGATCAGGCGTTGGTGGGTCCGCTTGCGGCTGCTGTTTCGACAATGATGCTGCTGCATTTTGTGGCAAATCCTGGTGGTTCGTTGGGACTTGTGGCTGGTTCTGAAGTTGAGTGAACAAATCTTCTTGCGGTATGCTCTGTCTCTCGCGTACAATTTTCATAATGAATGCGTCTTCTTCTTCTTCTTCCTTACTATTACCATCATTGTAGATGTCTTTGTCTTCCTCTTCTATACATGATCTGGTCGGGATTGTTGTTCCCATTTTGGGGTTGGTATCGGTGGAAACGGCGAGAGTATTGCTTGGTTTTGATTGCTGCCCTAGCAGTAGCTCCTCCCCAATGGCCCTGGCAATGGCTGCTTCGTTGCTACGTTGGATCAATACGCTTTCGAGCAGCTTGCCTTCTTCATCTTTGTCTTTTTCGTTGGTCTCTGTGTAACACTTCATCTTGGATCTTTGTGGCTTTGATCAATCGATCTGTGGATATGCATATGTTATAACTCTGGAGCAAAGAAAGATGCCACGACGCTGCATGGTGCAGGCATACAGTACGATGTTGTCTTTCTAAAGAACAGAAAAGATCCCGGCTTCGGTGAAGGATGACTCGGCGGGCAACTCAATGTTTAACACCAAGGTACTTTCGATAGCTCTTTCGATCCCAATTCAAACACAGTTAGCTCACTCTTCGTGTAGTTATTTAACCTTCCCGCACCAAGGAAGCTTGGCTATTTTAAAATAGCCACGTATTTACCAGTAAGAAGCCGATAGATCATAGATCATTGTTTACATGTTTACATCAGACTTCAGCGGCAACTCTGCAGAAAGTCCTACTATTCGGATGACCAGCTGATGACCACATACTGAATATGTACAATGTCATCACATACCGGTACCACCGGTACCGGCGTTAAATCCCAAGATTCCCAGCCAGCTGGGTTGTAATATTCGCAGAAAGAGCTCGGAAACAAATTTCGGTGATCCCCACTCCGCACAAGAATGCCACACAGCTATAGTATAGCTACAAGTAGCTAGCAACTTATTAGCAGGCAAGGTGGGATGTCAATCCCTTGTTGGGTTATCGTGGATGGAGGATTGATTTGATTTGATTCCATCAGCAAGCGTTCTTTCGTTTTCTTGTCCCGGTGCAGTATAAGATTCCTCGAGGCAAAGTTCCAGTGACCTGCCTGGAGGGGCCTGACATCCGTTTTTGCGTGGCCAAAATAGTGCAGGCTGTTGGTTGTCAAGCAAAAGGAAGCGGTACCGGTGGCAGCCATGAAGCAGCAGGACAAAGCAAGCAAGGATTCGATTTTGGCTCTTTCCGCTGTCTGCACCAACTACAAGGGACTCATGCTTCTGGCTGGCAACCCACACCTGTCCCTTCGTAAACCTCTTTGAATTCAAGGCAGACTCTTGAGCTGTGGAATGTAGACAAGAGAGGTGCAGCCGCGGGAAACCATGGAGCAATTATTGTTGGAAAGTACCGGTTTTGGTCGTACATACCAGCTTGCCCCAAGGGAACAGAAAAAGATGCCAAAACATTGTGAATGATGAATGATGCTCTAGCTAGCTGTAGAGCGGAGAGCTTTGTGCTCGTTTCGTTTGGCCATTGATCGAGTCGAGTCGAGTCAGCAATACAGCTGTAAATTACTCGAGTACTTACTGTTCAAGCTTGCTCTATATCCTCCATTTTTCGGGGTATTTGATGTTCGCCACCGTCTGATCTTTGGTCCTCCATCGAGGTAAAAACTATCGTACCATGAAACGTGAAAGTGCCGCTCAACGTTCCACAACGTTCTAGATTCTACGTTCTAGCTAGAGGTAAATACTGCATGATGTTGTCCCTTTTGAGCAATCCGCGTACATGTAATGACCAGTCAGAGCCACAACCACAGTTACTGAATGATGGATCAAGGCTACAGCATAGCTTTTTATTTATTTGGAGAGTCGAGTCCTCTACTCTGCAATCTGTTTCTAACAACACATTGTACTCGGCTCAAGAGATGGCAAAGATGGCTGACCTCGACCAATATGACTTGGACCTGATGGACTTGGTGGCAGCCCGTTGTGAAGGTGGTACAGGGGCCGAGAGCTTCCTTGATCTGAACAACTTCGGCAGGGATGTGGAGAAAGGCGTAGACGTGGAGCAGGAGAAAGAATCAGCCGTAAGCCCTAAAGACAGAGGATTGTTCCAGAAACCGTTTACTGCTCATGGCACGGGTACCGGCACCACATGCGATACTGGTACCGACAAGCAGGACAAGAATCCTGCCTGTACCTTAGTTGATACACAGGAGCGGGAAACTAAGGAACCCACTCATAATGATTCCAATAATAACCAAGGGGAGACGGAAGCCGAAGGTATTGCGGGAGCCTACGCCATTCAATCCGCTCCAGAATTGCGACCAGGAGAATCCACTGGTCCAACATTATCTGGAGGAGGAGGAGACAATGAAAGCAGTAACAGCTCATCTTCTACAGAGAGCCATGGCAGTGACTTGGCAGTACCAGTGGCCAACCCAGTGGATGATGAGGATCTACAGCAGGCCCAAGAGTACAACCCTACTACTGCGATGCCCAGTTCTGCCAGGAGAAAGCAAAAGACCAAACGAGTCAAAACCTGCCTTCTTTTGGGAGCAATTCTTTTGGTGGCTTTAATTATGGTCTTGATGGCTACCGGTATACTGGTGCCTACTACTAGTAAGACTAATGAAGATGCGGCTCAGGCCACCGCAGTCCCAACAATGAATCCATCTGGGGCTCCATCCATCATCATGTCACTTGAGGAACACATCAAAGCCCTGCTGCCAGCAGACACCCTTATGGCCATACAAGAGGACCCAACATCACCACAATCCATGGCATACGAGTGGCTTTTGGAAGATGATGATGATGGCAAGAGCAACCTACACTCGGATGCCCGAATCAGTCAAAAGTTTGCCTTGGCAACATTGTATTTTGCTACAAGTGGAGACACATGGGCAGACAACACAAATTGGCTGAACCATAGCATACACGAATGTGGATGGTTCCATGCACCTGATTTTGCCATGAAGGAGACAATGCAACATGTATACCCGGGTTATCTTTCCGAGTTCTTTCCTCCCTCAGAGCCACCACCCACACCCTGCAACAGTCATGGTATCTATCAAAACTTGTGGCTGGACCGGAACAATCTTGTTGGATTCATCCCAGAAGAGCTCTACATGCTATCAAGTTTGCAGACACTGTCTCTTGGATGGAATCAACTTGATGGCGTACTCTCTACTCGTTTGGGGCAGCTCTTTGATTTGGAGGGGTTAGCTATCTTTGGTCAGCCCAGGGTTGGTAACATTCCCTCTGAGATTGGTCTTTTGACAAAACTAAGGGGCCTTCTGCTAACTAACAGCAATCATCAAGGCCTACTTCCTTCTGAGTTGTGGCAGCTGACCAATATTGAGACATTGGCTTTGATGGACCACAAGCAGATGCAAGGAACAATCCCATCGGAGGTTGGCCATTTCTCCAGTCTCAAATGGATTGTTGTAACTGAAAGTGATATTAATGGTAAGCTCGAGCTGCATGGTTGCCCAGTTTCATTTCGATCAGGTCATCCATGATTCTCACACCCTTTTGGCAATCCTTCCAAAGGCTCAATCCCAACAGAGCTTGGGCAAATTGAATCACTAGAGTGGATCGTTCTGGAACGGAACAGGCTTTCGGGGAGTATTCCAAAGGAACTGGCTATTCATGCCAACAAGCTCATGATGTCCATGTTTGGTAATGACTTGGTTGGGACCATTCCAAGTGAGCTGGGCTTACTGACTTCTCTTAATTTCATTCTCACTCTTCGGGGAAATCAATTATCTGGCTCAATTCCCAGTGAACTGGGACTCCTGACAAATTTGCAGACAGGACTTAGTCTGCGGGGAAATCTTCTCACAGGAGTTATCCCAACAGAGCTTGGTCTATTGACACATGCACTTTTACTACTACTTGATGACAATCAACTCTCTGGCCAGATTCCAAGTGAATTTGGTGAACTCACATCCCTTGGCCAGCTAGGTATGGCCAACAACAGCTTGTCTGGTCTGATCCCACATGCATTATCCACACTACAGGAATCACTGCATGCATTATCATTCAATGGGAATCCACTTCTTTCTGGGACCATACCAAAAGACATTTGCAGTGTCCACGGCACTCCTTTCAGAAATCAAATGGCACCAGATTCATTTCTTGATCCTCCTGGTGTATCCTTTGATTGTTCTGATATTCTGTGTGGCTGCAATTGCTCTTGTGATGCCAACAGTTGAGGTGGTGTGATGGACACTGATTCAATTATGTTCAAGTCTTGTAGCTATTAATCAATCCAGAACTAGTTTCCACCAGTCTAGCATGACAACAACTCAATACGGCGACAGCCAACTTGACATCCACTAGACCATCGAAACGAAACCTCTACTACGCAACTCTTTCGCCACGTGGAGAAGCAGGCCAAGGCTTGTGCATGGCTGGCTTCTGTTTTGGCTTTCGTAGCTTTGTAGAAGCCAATATTTCAGAGTTCGTAGTTCATGCCTTGTGGCTATAGAAAACCCGGCCAAAATATCAGCTGCGGGGCTACGTTGACCTAAGCATGCGCCGAGGCTGAAACTCTGGCTTCGACTGCGGGAGTGATGACTGAAGAGCCTTTTAAAACCATCGTCGGTGGTGATACTCCGATATCACTCACGTCGATTGGCAAGTCTCACTTGAATCAGCTAGCTAGCCAGCAAGCAAGCTACTACTAATAGCACGAGACAACAAATCTTGCTAAAAACCACAAGCAACAAGCCCAGCCACCGGTACGAAAGTTTTCACTTCCTCAGTTTACGGTTAGTCCGCTTTTAGTTTTGCGCCTCATTGAACCTGCAATTTTCGGTGGCTCTTTCCCATAAGTCAAGTCACCGGTTAGAATGTCTTGTTTCTGCCAAGTAGGGTCCAAAGGCATAAATAAAAACTGAAAGATTATCCTTTCATAAATCCTCTTCAAACTGAACATGCAAAAGGAACTGCATCGAAGCCAATCGTAGCTTGAGCTTTCACAAGATTAACAGGTTTAGGAGAAGGCGAACTGCAACCGAATTGATATCTTCTTCTATCACACTCTCACAATTTCAAGATAGCGATCGAAGATATCAACCAAACATCATATCCCAGCAAAACTAACCGCTGTCATCACTCAGCAAGCAACTCCTAACCAATCCTAGCACCAGATAACGACAATGAACCAATTCGAGCATCCAGTATACCCGTTTGGTTACACGACCTCAGCACCTCATTCTCGGGGATACCTCTATCCACCAATGCCGCAGTTTTCTCAGCCACAGCAGCAAGAAGCCCAGAATCAAACAACCATGACAATCACCGTCCACGACAATGACATTCTCATGGTAAGTCCTTCCAGTCTGCCGTCGCCTGGCACTGCAAATTTTTTTTTAAAAGTTTCGTTGTCATCTCACCCAAATTTGCTGTCTGTTTTCGTTTCAGGGACGAGGAGGCAAGAACAATATGCACATTGGCAATGAGAAATTGCGTCAACTGGCCCGTGCCAAGGCCAGCAAGTACATCAAGGCCGACAAGAGAGAAAAGTCGCTCATGTCCCTGGACCTGGTCGCTCAGGTCCATGCCATGACACCTGCTGGACGCTTTTTGAAGCGTGATCCTGTCAGCATGAATTGGCAGTTGGTGCCTTCGGAACTCGCTCGAGAGAAAGCTTCCCAGTGCTTGCGAGATGCCGTATCGCAAATCAAGAAACGACGTGATTCCGATTCGTCGTCTTCTGCTGGCAGTGCCATGGAAGGAATCAGCACTCCCAGCAGCAAAGCCACACAAAAGATGGCCAACAAACAGCAACGCCCAGCACCTGTGACTTCCCATTCCAAATCACTCATCCAGCAGCATCAGGCGCAACAACAACAGCAGCAGAAAGTCAGGAGCAAGAAACGTGGTGCTGTTCTTGTGGACATGTCGTCATCGCAGCCAACCATGATGAGGAATCACAAGAGACAGCGCACCACTCCACAGAAACGAGACGAAAACAACAACAACTACACACCAATCTCCATTCCTCCGGCCATCATGTCCGACATGCTCAGCAACTACAGTCCCATTCCTCTTCGGAACATTCACAACCCATCCGTTGTCTCTGAAGACGGACTACCCTTTGCTGATTTTGACTTGTTCTTTGACAATCATTCCCTTAGTGGTGCTCATGACGAAAACGACCATGGCTTGGATGTATCCGGGTTTCAGTTTTAGTTGTCCTTGTCCGTATAGTTGTTGCAGGGTTGTTATATGTATCAAGGATGGTGAAAGTGAAATGTGTAAAGGAATCTATTTGTTAAAAAAGTAATTACTAGCGTAATGTCACACGTACAAACTGCTTTCTAGTTTCTCCGCTAGCGTCAGAGGACGCCATGGTCAGGCAGCACTCAAGGGTAAGCCAAAAGCCTCCAGTGAGGCTACCGATTCCACTCCACACGATGCAGCACACACAACATCGAGGTATCTTCACGGCTGGCAACGGGCTAGACGTGCGCTACGGCCGGCAAGGCACCGATGGGATGCATTGACCTCAATCGGTAACATGCGTGTACCGCTTTCAGTTGTACCACCAATCTAGACGCTAGCTAGCCAGGACCGAGGCGCGATGACAGCCACCTGCACGGACTCGATCCACGACAGTGATAGATCTTTTGGCTAGCTTGTATGCATGCATTCGTACCTGGTATTGATAGGCGATCTATTTATTGTCCTACGGTATCTTCGTCGCTTGCAGTCGTTCGTTTCTCCTTGGTTGGGTCACTGATCGTGCCCCTTTGGAGTGTGTATCGCTCGAACTGCTTCCGACTGCTATAGCGTAGCTAGATCGCCCAACGGTACGCCCTACCGTACTGCTTAATCCGAGCACCTCTACGGATCGTACGGTTGGCTGCTGGTGCACGGATGGGAGCATCTCTTGACTTCATCAGGACGTGTCTCGCTTTACGGTATCGTGCTGACTTGACTCAACTGCTTGAAGATATATAGTCGGACTGACATTCGAGTTTCACGGCACGGTCTGACTGTCACTCTCTCTATCATCGACCGACCATTCACCGAGATGGGACATGCTATCTCTCCTCGGTCGAGACACACAGTGTCATTCGGCCCCGTTTGGATCCGATTCCGATTCGTGTGCTTGTTGTCTCGTCGGCACAGTACAGAGTAGGGCATCCAGTAACTACGCTACACGTCTCATGTTCTACTGTAACAGCGCGACACATCCGCTTCGGTTTCCACAGCATGTGCTCCACGAGGTGGCGCGAATTGTCGTACGAAGGCATTGCATGCTGGTTGCATGGATAGCCAGCAATCGAAACCAGTACATTGCTTTCGCCCGAGCGCACGTGAATCTCATTCATTGAGCATACGGCAAGAGGCTTATCTCATCATATCCTCGGTCGATCGTTTGTTTGTTTGTCCGAAAGCAAAACTCGATGCTGGTTTGGTTTTGGTCTGTGACTGGCTGGTTGGATGGATGGATGTCGCTTACATTCTGGGTGGGGTGGTGGGAGTTGAACGAGCCACGATTTCCGGGTCTGGTCGATCACCAAGTACAGAACGTTGCATACAGAAACTTTGGGGTGTAACTCAAATCGGCGAACTAAAATGAAATATTTAAACTATTGCACTCCTGGTTATTGCACTCCTGGTTACTATGAACCTTGATAGTACATCGATAACCGTGTATGCATCAATCTGGAAGAGTGGATAAGTGAAGTATCATCTGATTTTTGTCTGATACGACTTCAAGAGTTAAGAAGTCGACACGATCTTTTCGTTTCATTGAACTAGTCAAATTGAGCACTAACCCTCGATAATCCGACTAGATTCTCCAAAAGTACGTACCAGGTAGCCCGCAGTAGTTGTTCTACGAGCCATACTGTTCGTAGCTCGCAGAGCTGCTCGTAGCTTCCTCACCGTTCCTCTTGAACCAGAATCTGAACAGCATAGAGCGAACAGCACAACACTAACAAGAAAAACGGGAGAAAAACAGCAACTGTGATCAAAGAACTAAAATCAGACTACCGTACGATACCTTGCACCATCCAGTAAAGGAGTGAGCCATTGATCGATCGATCGGTGCTGGGCTCTATCCTCATCAGATAAGATCAAGGCCTCCAGCAGAGCTCTTCTTCTCACAATACCACCGAGTAACTGAGGGTTAACCGGCAGGAAGAGTCTACTAGAGACAATCAAGAAGCCAACTAACTTGTGTGCTTTGTGGGAATCCCCATAGATTTTCCAGTTGTCAGTTTGTCAGTCAGTCAGTCAATCAAAGCTACCCTCTTTCCTCTGTGTTTCTTTCCCCTCCAGCAAATCTGCTTGCCTTTCTGTTTCTGTTGAGGTAAGTTAAGTTACGGCAGGTTAAGATGGGGGTATCTGAGGGTATCTGGGGTATCTGATCAGATAATGGTTCCTTATCTTACCTATGGTACTTCTATCTATATGTATTGCAGATGCCTCCACGAGCCTTTGATGATCATCACCACACCACCACCATGAATATGAACATGAATCAACAGCAGCAGCAACAACAACAGTACGGCGGGTACGCCTACTACGCACCTCCTCAGTACAACTACAATGCCCATGTGGCTTACAATGGTCAACCTACTAGTACTGGTGCACAACAAGCAAACGTCAATCATCAAAATAATAATGGCAATGTCATGAGTGGCTTTCAGGGATTTGCGGGAATGATGGGATTTGGAACCATGGCAGCTCCTGGAATGGAACAGCAGCCACAGCAACAACAACAACATGTACCACAAGGAGCACCAATTACCAATCCCATGATGGACATGATGCAGCAGCAGCAACATCCACAAGCAGCACCAGGTCCGGCCTATGAAATTATAGAGCCAGGCGATACGGATGTTCTCATGGTAAGTCAAGTCAGTCCAAAGGGAGTTTTTCTAGCTAGCTAGCTATTAGTTGCTAGCTAGCTACACAGTCCAGATACTTACCTATCTATCTACCTACCCTATTTTGCTGGTTTGATTTGCAGGGAAGAGGAGGCAAGAACAATCAACATGTTGGTAAGCAAGCTTCTGCGTAGCTATCAATAGTGTTCGTATTATAAGTTGTCACTCACATCCCCATGATATTTCTATATTTTTCTTCTGTAGGCAACGAACGTCTCCGTGACATGGCCCGGGCCATTCGCGACAAATACAAGGCGTCGTCCAAGAAGGGAAAATCCAATCTCAGTCGAGACCTTGTCCAACAAGTACGAGATTTACCGGGACGTTTTCTCAAACGAAATCCCGTCACCAACGAATGGGAAGATGTCGGTGATGAAATTGCGCGTGAAAAGGTATCACAGGTCTTGCGAGATGCCGTCTCCGAATGGACCGGCCCGAAAGCCGCCGCTGCGGCGGCCAAAAAAGAAGACGAAGAAAAACAACGCGCTCAAGCCATTGCACTCGCCAAACTGGAACGAGAAGAAGAAGAAGCCGAAGAAAAAGCCAAGGCAGCAGCCGCTGCGAAAAACAAACCAAAAGCAGACAAGACGACAAAAACCGCCGCTAAGGAAAAAAAGTCGTCGCTCGCGTCCATCAATTTGCCACCTCCACCCTCCGAAATTCCACCAGCAAACAAGACTCCGGCTCCCATGGCGCCCCCAGCCGTTCCAAAAAAAGTGGCACCTGTTTCCCAATTTACAACCGCTCCAGCTCCCATTGCCCACGTTGTAACCCAACCAATCGCCGACGAACCCATTATCCCACCAGATCTGGCTCTTACAGACGATTTCGATGATTTTCCCCCTGGTCCTGAAATGTCAGACGAGTCTTTCCCTGCCATGCCGGACGAGTCCTTGACGGGCGGTGGTCGAGATCGATTTTTGTCGGACATGTCCTTTAACGATCCGACTGCCATTTTGGAGAGCCCAACCAATAATACTCTCGAAAACAACAACGACGATGATGGTGATCGCAAACCACGGGCTCGATTGGATTCGGATGATTCCACCGAAGCAGCGGCACCGTCTCGTCGTCGTCCACGATTGGGTACCGATGATTCCACGGATGATCTGGCAGTAGTCGATCCGACAAACCAGGATGCGGCTGCTGCTGCGAATAACGACCAACACAAGCATCGAGGGTCTCACAAGGTCCCTGTCGCCACGGTTCCATGGAATCGGAACAAACGAAAAACCAATCTGTTGGATCGGTATGCCTGTATGGGAATCTCCTCGTCCGACATGTCCATTACGTCCATGGGATCCCAACTCAGCAGTCGTAGTCTCATGGGAAGTCAACTCAGCAGTCGTCAATTGATGAGTTCTGGGACGCGACAAATGAGTAGTCGACAACTCAGTCAGCGACAACTCAGTCAGAGGCAGCTCAGTTCCAGGCAATTGAGTTCACGACAATTGAGTTCTCGTCAACTCAGTTCCAGGCAGTTGAGTTCACGACAATTGTCCAATCGACAACTCAGCTCGCGACAACTCAGTGGACGTCATTTAATGTCGGTGGAACAGCGGAAATCCAAATTCGCCATGATGGGAGAATCCGATCTATCGTTGGATGCGCTTTCCATTACGGACGACATGACACCTACCAATGGCAGGTCGCCGTCGCGCAAAAATATTTTTATGGAGCAGTACATGGCCATGGACATGGGCCTGTCCGATTTCTCGCTGGGATCCACCATGGCGACCGAACCGATGGAAGGGTTTCATCGTCCGGGCATTATCATCGAAGGCATCGACGAAGAGTTGAGTGAATATGGTGGAAGCAGTCATCACATGAAACTGAGCAAACACGGCGGCAGCAGTCGGTTCCCCGAAGCATACGACTCCGCGGGCGTGGGAACCTCCATGTCCAACATGACCATCAACACCATTGGTACCTTTTCGGGACATTCTCGTAGAGGTCTCTTTGCCGGTACGGGAAACTCTATGCGCATGGAATCGGGACACTCCTTCATGACCATGACGGACTTGCAGCTGGAAATGCTGGACGATGAGCTCTTTGATGAATTCGCGTCCGACGACATTGGCGGAGCTGATGAATTTGGCGGTTCGCTGGATGAGGAAGATGAATTCGGTGGAGAGGAATTCTCCACTGAATTTTGCTAAATGAATTGCTGCGGTGATGACTTGAGGGGGGCTGTGCTGCCCGGGGGTGTCATTTCTTTCACCTGTGGCTTTTTCTCTTGTTTCGATGTTGGTCCGTGGAATGCATTGGAATGCATTGGGTTTCGTTCGCATCGACAAAAAGTGCTGTTATTTGTTACGTGCTAATGTGGTAAACATTTGTTAGGAATTCTTATTGAGCTAAATATACTGTACCTCCACTGCCAAATCTTTCATGGATCGAATGGCACAATGAACCTGGAGTAGATCGAAGCCCAGACCGACTTCCTGGCTTTGGGTGGGGAGAGCATACGGTATCATAGTTTCCGTAGTTCTTCGAGGACTGCTTGCTGCATGTGCTCCTTTTTTCTCAGTAAGCCAGGAATAAGTTATCATAGTCATTCCAACCCTCGCTCGTTCGTATTAAATTGGTGACAGCTCTCCAAAGTCTATTTTGGGCTCTACTTGACTGGGTTGACAATCAGCCGTCATTGTCTCGCCTGGCTTTGCTCTGCAAAATTGATTGGACCCAACAAATCGAATCGAATCGAATGCTTCAATCGAATCGAGTGGAACCGAGAACCGAGTGACAGTCGTCGAGTCGAGTCAACCGGATCTTTTGGATCTCCTTTTGGCCCCTCTTGCAATCACGAAATTCGCATGACAACCACCGATACCAACCGCTCGAACGGGTCCGGCCCGGCAAGCACTTTTTTTAAAAACTTTAAGATAGCTACTAACTAGCTAGTAGAGCTAGCTAGCTAGAGATCTATTTGTAGGATTTGTTTTTCATTTTGCAAATGGACGGACAACAAATCAAATTGATGAATGGATTCTGATTCGATTCGATTCGATTCGATTGAAGAGTGACTGGACTCAACTCGTCGTCACTCAGTGTTCGACATCCGCCAAGAACCGCTCCCACGACGAACCGCTCGAACAGTGCGGTCCTTTACAATAATAGGCTATCGATGCATGGATTCTATGGATACTAGCAACAGATATCTTGGAAGAAAATTTATATAAGGGGGTTTAGAGTAGGGAAATTAGCTACGGAAGCCAGATCAGTCGCCGACCAAGTTCTAGCCATCCAACCTTAAGCAATTAACCATGACTACGGAAGAGGAGGCTGACAAACCAGGCAACCTGGATTCTTCTTCCCACAACACAGAGCACGACCAGACGCTACATGAACAGAAGGAAGAAGAACAGCAGGAGAATGAGGAGGAGTCGCAATCCATGTGGGCCGATGCCAAGCAGTCTATTGCCTATCCAGCAGCAAAGAATTGTAGGAAAAATCAATCATTTGAAGTAGAAATTCATCAACTGAATCATCAGCCGCAAGATACCGGTACCCAGGAAGACTCATCAGCTTGTAGGGCGACTACAACCACCGCTTCAGATGATAATAATGACACCACTCATCAAGGTACAAGTGCCATTCTGACAGCAGAAAAAAGGCACATTACCTATCCCAGAAGGCACACAGCTCATGCTCACGTCGCCGCCCCATCAGCTCGGTCACAAGAGACCCAGGTAGCTTCATCGACTTCTAGGGCAACTACAACCATAGTTTCAGCTGATGCCACTACACAAGGTACCAGCGACATTCTGACAGCAGAAAAAAGGCACATCTCCTATCCCAGAAGCGACACAGCTCATGGACGCGTAGCCTCTCCATCAGCCGTAAGCACCACTGAGGAGCAAGAGGAACAAGTGGAGAGCCATATTGGCGGCAGTGGGGACACCCACAGAATTGGACAAGCAGACAACAATGTATTTCAGGACATTTATGGAATTATGCCTTTGCCTCCATTAGAACGGAGCACTGCCAACAGAAGGGACCAAGCACAGCCAGGAGCCTACGCAAGTGGAGAGTTTCAAGAAACCGAGGAAAATTTGGAAACAGCAGAGATGACACACATCGAACCCACCACTACTGTACCACCTACGGTCGAACCAGAAAATGAAAATAGTGGTTTGGCTGTGGCAAATTTGGTTCCAGACGAAGCAACCCCTCAGGATCTGCCCCAGGCTCAAGATTACAACCTGGAAAGTGAAAACAGAAGCAGAGAAACAAGAATGAAGCAATTCAAAACCAAGGTCTTCTTGGGAGTCATTGTCTTGTTGGCCATCATTCTCATTTTGATTGCCATTGTGACACCTGGCTCCATTCCCGTCCTGCAGCTGTCAGCGACACTGAGACAGTCTCAAGAAGATTCTTGATACAACATAGAACAAATAGACTTAAGGCAGATGTGCCAGAGTCGAAACCGTTAAATAAAGAGAGAGCAAGAACTGCCTCATCCTTTTCAACCAAGTGCTCGACCCAGTCGAGGATACTTCGGAGAGAGTTGCGAATGGACGACTACGAGGTAGAAATTCGTCCCGACGCTAAATCCTATTATACTAGGACTCACCCTACTCCACGGTCCATACCAACTCTTAAAAAGGAGGTTGAAGTCTCTGCGAGGCGGAGTACTCAAGAAGGTAATGTTCCGAGTGGGCGGCACCAAGTTTATCATTCCCAAGAAAGAGGGATCTGTCGATTCATCTCTGATTTCGGGAACCGAACAAACGGAATCAAGCCGAAGCCTTATCCTATCCCAAACATACAGGACTGCTCTTGAACCCAGATGGATTCAAGTATGGCTACTAGTCTAGACCTAACACGGGAACTACCACAATCGAGCTGTCACATCACTCGAAAAACACTATACCATTGCACTCCCAAGGGAAAGGAAGAGTACCAGAGGTTGCCAATGGGCTATGTAATAGTCCCGACATCTTCCCAAAGGAAGATGAAAACCGCCTGCATGACTTAGAAAATGTCAGTGATACATTGATGATCAACTCATCTAACGGACGTCGATCTCGCAGATCGCGTTGAATAGTAGGATGACCTTTCCAAAGACTTCAGAAGTCGGGATTGAAATCAACACTACCAAGGCCTCTCGATAGGAAGAACTGAGTATCTAGACAATTGGACTTCTCGAGAAGGAACCAACCCTTAACCAAAAAGATAATAGATGCGATCCAGCTATCGCTCTTCCCACAACAGGAAGGAACTTCGTAGATTCATTGACCAATGAACTACCAAGGGCTGCTCCAAGACAGCAGACGGAGTAACCATCGTTCTGAAACAGACGTGGGTTACCCAGTACCATGACCGGTTGTCATGGACAGAGAACGTGATCCCGCGAGAGGTGAGAGACTCTCCGGGATGAACATGGACTTCGTCGCAAGATTCACGCGCGTCAATCGTGACAAGACTCACCACATCCGTTTCAAAGCAAAACGGAAATACATTAAGGAACGTCCCAACGACTTATCCAGCAAACACCGATAAGGAGAACACGGCACGTGTCCCTCATCAAACACCATGTCAACGATACTATGATGATTCATCAGTATCAGAAACGTTAGTACGGTCAGCCCACGCACAAGGTCCTTACCAAACAGACCGAGTCAATAACAATGGACTGTACGGCTCCGACTTACTACCGCCAGGCGGCACAGTCTACCAGACTTGAACATAAGGTATTTACACCATACAAGGCCTGATCCCCTTGTAGGATTACCATCGTGCGACGCACATGTCTACATCCAATCTCCGGAGAGTGCCGCACTTTTAATTCATATGTTCTCCTGTCCGACTGATGCGTGCCTTCGTGACCCTTGTCAGGGGCGGAATGCAATACACGGCTCTTAGCCTTTATTCGCGACTCGATCCTAGATAGGGTTTGAGTTCGACTCATGACTGAGTCTCTCGTTAATAGTCATTTGAGACAGGGTTCTCAATGACCGCTCTAGTCATACTAATTGATGATGAAACATCGCTCTAGATATTTAGCCAGCGTGGAGTACTTCCACGCTACTAGATAAATGCTAGACGAATCTTCCACGCGTTCCGTTTTTGGATCGTGGAAGTGAGTAGGATTGCTACCGCAACTACTCTATCACACTTACAGTCTCCCGCGGGAGTTCAGATCTACGATCCTTTGGTTGTGGATCTCTCTCGTTGATTAGTTTTCATAGCTTTCTAATCCTCTCATAACTTTCAGTTCTCTCAAACTCAAAACACTCGAAAGATCTTTTACACTAGCTTTAGCGTGTGCATTGTTGACGGTATGTATATGATTTAAATTCAATGAAAACAGCCATTCAGGTGGAAGTCTGGTTCTCCTCACCCACAAGCTGACCATCGCCATTGGTCTGATTCTCGATTTCCATCAGCACCATACTCGTTCTGGTACTGGAACAGTTGCACCAGTCACATCCACAGAGCTGGCTGCTGCAGTCAAAGTAAGGTTGTTGCAGAACACAAGCTTCAGGGATAATGCCAGAAAGATCATTTCCATACAAATAGACCTGACCATAAGGTGCAGGGAAAGAACATTGCCAAGTTCCAGGGGCACTGTTCCAGTCAAATCATTGTCATATAGCCACAACTGCCACAAACCACGAGTGAGCTTTCCAAGCTCTGTAGGAATTGTTCCTGTCAGGTTACTGCCATGCAAGGCCAACACATCAACTTGCTTGTACATTCCAAATTCACTTGGGATTGTGCCCGACAAAGAATTAAAATAAAGATACAAAATACGCATCATGCTTAGAAGGCCAAGTTCTGTTGGGATCTAGAGGAAAAGAAGAACAATGGACTTCATATTAGAAGAAGATGTTCTGGTTACAGGGCTGGCCTCCAAATAGACTTACAGTTCCAGTGAAGAGTTATCCCCCATTGTCAATCCCTCGATGGATGTCATGTTGCCAAGCCACCTGGGGATTGTCCCTGTAAGACCCGAGTCATCCAATTCAAGATGTTCCATGTCTGTAAGCAAAGCAAGCTCACTTGGGATCTGCCATTGAATTTAGAGTAAAGCATTTAGTCCGATGACATGATACTCAACACACAAACCAATTCATTTCCCACAGCATCACTGCAAGAACTTACAGTACCACTCAACATTAGGCTGTAAAGGAGTATGCCCTCCAAGAGAGTCAATCTGCCAAGCTCCATGGGAATCGTCGAGGTGAACAAGTTTGTGTCAAGGCTAAACGGCAAGTTGTCAACAATCCAAGTTCTGTTGGTAGCTGCAAGAGAAGAAATAGTTAGTCAGTGCCACCACACTTGTACAACAACAACAGAAACTTGCACGTACTGGTCCTGTTAGCTGATTGTCTATAAGAACGAGGGTTGATATTGAGTTTGCAAGCGAATACAGGGATGATGGAATCTGGTAAACACCACAAGTCCAGTGATGAATTGGCAAGGTGAGATACTGCAGAACCATCTTGTCACACACTTCAGGTTGCCACTTACAGTTCCCGTCAAAGATGATTCCCAAGTAGAGAATTCAAGATTTTGACAAACGTCCTATTGCCTCGGGAATGGAGCCATAAAGGCCACAATCATTCATTGAAAGAAACTCCAAATTTGTTAGGCCAAAGAGCTCTTCTGGCATTGTGCTGATAAGTTTCAATTCATCCAATACCAAGGTTTCGAGGTCTGTGAGCAAGTTGAGCTCTGGTGGAATCCCTGATCCGATCAGGCCATTATAGGGCAGCCAAAAATGCTTCAGGATTCCATTTCTCTGATAGAGTACACCATCCTCTAGATACGCAGCTGGATCTTGCTCACATGGACTGACGTAATCCCATGGAGATCCCGATATGTTGCCCTTAGCCAAAAAGAGGACCCATTCCTCCATACCAGAATACCAAAGGCACTCGTGAACACTGTGATTCAACCAGTTATCACTCAAGAACCATCGCTCGTCGCTGTTGGCAAAATAGAATGTGGCTAGTACAAAACGTTGTACAACTCTCTGTTCTGTAAGGTTGTGTAGGATGTCGATCTCTTCCACGAGCCATTCAAATGCCATCGACTGGGGTGATTCTGGGTCCTCCTGATTGCAGCCACTGTTGATTCAGGGAAAAGAGATAGCCAGTATTCTGAATAAGTCGATGGCCCTGAGATGGGTTGCTGCTGGGCGACTCGCTAGGTGAGGTTGTAGGGAAAAGATATGCAATGTCCTGTTTCTTT